TGCCTCCGTGTCCCCTTCTGTGAGGGCCGCGGCCTGGGCGCAGGGAGGCCGCTGCTGCGCGGTCCGGAGCGGCTGGGGCGCAGGAAGGCCGCCCCCCGCCCCATAGCTCCGCGTCCGGGGCGCCCGGCCGTGCAGACCTTGTGGGCAGCGCCTCCAGCACCCTCGGCCCCTCCTGGCGTGCAGTCGCGTCGGGGACGCCAGGACCGCGGGCGAGGGGGCGTCGGAGAGGGGAGCGGGGGGGGGGCGGGTCCCGGGGCGGCGGCTGCGGGCATGGGGTGCCCGGGGCGGGGGGTGCCCGGGGCGGGGGCGGGGCCTCGGAGGGGGCGGAGGGAGACGGCGGAGTGAGGCGCGCGTCGGGGGACGGCGACCGCACGGCGGGGGCGGGGCCCGCGGGCGGGGGCAGTCTCCCCTCCGCGGGTAACTGGCGCGGGACTCCAAGCGCACCCTCTGCGTCTCCTTGGCAACCAGCTCCGGGGGGGGGCCCCCCTCCCCCTCGCGTCAAGAGGAAATGGGTGTGCGCGCGGCGTGCGCTTCCGGCGCGGAGAGGGGCGGGAGCGATTGTGAACTGGCGGCGGGAAGGACCAATCGCGGGAGACGGTTGGCGAAGAGCCAATTGCCGGGGCCGGAGGGGGCGGAGTACGAGGCGGGGCCTAAGGGGCCGAGCCAACCGCGGTGACCAGGGGGAGGGCCGGGGCGGGGCCGGCGCTGGGGCGGGGGCGGGGCCGGGGGCGGTGGCGACGGCGACGGGACTGCGGCCTCTTCCGGCCGGCTCTGGCGTTTGTGGTGCCTAGTGCGGCGTCGGGGTCGGGGGCGGCGGCAGGCCTGGCCATGCTGCAGCTGCGGGACTCGGTGGACTCGGCGAGCACGAGCCCCACGGCGGTGCTGGCGGCCGGCGAGGAGGTCGGCGCGGGCGGCGGCGGCGGGGTCGGGGGGCGGCCGGGCGCGGGCACGCCGCTGCGCCAGACGCTGTGGCCGCTCAGCGTCCACGACCCCACGCGCCGCGCCCGCGTCAAGGAGTACTTCGTGTTCCGGGTGAGGCGGGCTGCGCGTCCCGGGGAGGGGCCGGGCCGGGGCGGGGGCCGCAGGCGGGGCCGGGGGGCCGCGGCGGACGGAGCGTGACCGCTGCTGCCCGCGCAGCCCGGCACCATCGAGCAGGCGGTGGAGGAGATCGGCGTGGTGGTGCGGCCGGTGGAGGACGGCGACATCCAGGGCGTGTGGCTGCTGACCGAGTGAGCGGGGCGCAGGGGCGGGCGCGGGCGCGGGGGCGGGCGGGGGCGCGGGGCGGCGCGGTGACCGGCCGTGTGCGGGCAGGGTCGACCACTGGAACAACGAGAAGGAGCGGCTGGTGCTCATCACGGACCAGGCGCTGCTCATCTGCAAGTACGACTTCATCGGCCTTCAGTGCCGGCAGGTGGTGCGCGTGGCCCTGAGCGCGGTGGACACCATCTCCTGCGGGGAGTTCCAGTTCCCCCCGAAGTCGCTCAACAAGTAAGTCCGCGAGCGGAGCGCCCCGGGGCCTCGGCTCCCCGGCCGGCCACCCCCCTCCGCTCCCCGGCCGGGCCCACCCCTCCCCCCGCTCCCCGGCCGGCCCCGCAGGCCGCCTTGGGTCTGCAGATGCGAAAGCCGCAGCGGGGCGGCGCGGGGCTGCGGGCGCGGGTGCGCTGGAGCGAGAGCGGCGAGGCTCGCGGTGAAACGGAGCAGACCTGACCAGCACTTTATCTCTGGCCAGGGAGGGGTGACCGGTCCCGTCTGGCTCTGCTCTGGCTGAGTTCTAACGGAAAAAGGGTCGTGCGTCCATTTACACATGTCCCTGCACGTTAAACGTGAGAACAGTCGTGGCCCCTGTCAGGACGGAGTGATGGTGGACCGGGCGCAGCCTAGACCAGTCGGGGTGGGAGGCTTGGGCTGTCCGCCTCGAGCCGCTGCAGAGCCTGGGTTTGGGGACGAGGGCGCCAGCTCTCAGCAAGAACTTGGGGACAAAGCCCTGAAGTTGCCGGCGTGTCATTGGTGTGTGCAGCCCGCCCCAGAGTCTTCCCGTGGCCCCTTAACCTGCGGTAATCGTGGGAAGATCGGGGTCACCAGTACCCGGTCTGTCGCGTCCAGAGCGCGCGGCGCGTGCTGACCGGCGACCGCAGTTACTCCCGGAGCCGAGAGGTTCTTCTCTGCTGGAAGCGCCGCAGGTCTTGGCTGTGGCCGTGGAGCAGCATCCCGGTGTCACTCCCCACACCCGACCAGGCTGCCGGGAGCGCTGGGGCCTGCCGAGTGAGCTCGCTTCTTCTCCGTAGGCGAGAAGGTCTCGGGATTCGCATTCAGTGGGACAAGCAGAGCCGTCCTTCCTTCATAAACAGATGGAACCCCTGGTCCACCAACGTGCCCTACGCCACGTTCATAGAGCACCCGATGGCCGGTGCGGATGAGAAGACGGCCTCTCTGTGCCAAGTAAGACCCTAAGAGCCGCGCTTCCCAGCTGCCATGGCAGCGTTCTCACGCTGCCCTGCTCCCCACGGCGGCCACGTGTGGCTGTGGGGCATGTGAACGGTCATAGTAAACTGAGGAAACAGACTTCTAAGTTTTAGAAGTGTTAGCTTACGTTTAAATAGCCCCACGTGGCTAGTGGCTGCTGGTCAGTGTGGCTGTGCAGCCTGGCCCCTTGTGGCCACCATCGCCCTGCAGGAGGGCCCAGCGCGGTTCCAGGCAGTCTGTGTTCACCAGGAGAGGACGCCCCGTGGCCCCGGTAAGGCTGTAGCTGGACGCCACTCAGCAGCCGTGCACCGTGGCCTCGTCACTGGCCTGGCAGGTGGCAGAGGGATTAGGTGGGTCCCCACTGCAGATCTGCTGTGACGTGCGGAGGGCAAGGCCCTGTGCGGCTCATCACGTGTCCGCGTGAGCATGGGGCTAAGCAGAGAGCCACATCAAGAAGGCGAGTTGAGGGACTGTGAGGCTGTGGCTGCAAAGGCATCTCACGCAGGGGCAGCGAGGGGGGCTGGTGCAGAACTGGGTGGCGGTTTCCTGGTGTAGATCGCTGATCAGCAACATGTTTTCTCTCTCTTTAAAGTTGGAAAGCTTCAAAGCTATGTTAATCCAAGCTGTCAAAAAAGCCCAAAAAGAGAGTTCTTTGCCGGGGCAAGCCAACGGTGTACTGGTCCTGGAGCGTCCCCTCCTCATTGAGACCTACGTGGGATTGATGTCCTTCATTAACAACGAAGCTAAATTGGGCTATTCCATGACCAGAGGCAAAATAGGCTTCTAGACGCTGCCACAGGCAGACCAGGGAACTCGGGGCGTCAGACACGCGGGCTCTGCTGCCCCTGCAGGGTCCGGGCTGTGAACCCTTAGGGGTCTGAGCGCGATTAGAAAATAGTCAAATGAATTCTATGCTCTAGCTGAGTCGTGGACATCTGGCAGTAGGAGCTACGGACAAAAAGGAAGCTAGCTGTCCCTGTCTTGGCCGGTATTCCGTCTTCTAGAACCTGTTTCCGTGCTTTTCCTGGAGTGTCTGCATTTGGCTTCTCGTGGTCCTTCCCGCCCCAGCGCTCTGGCGTGTCAATAAACGTGCGGTCCCACCAGAACCTCCCTGCTGGCGCTCGCGCTGTGTGGACTGCTCCGTCCAGGGAGGTCCCTGAACCCCACTGCCCGTAGTTGCAAATACCTTTCTGTTTGGTGTCCAGTTTTGTATTTGGAGATTTTATCCGTTTTCCTAAAGCTAAACGCAGAACAAGCCAGACTGCTGAACTGCGAGACCGTCGGCCTCGTCCCATGCGAGAGAACGGCTGCTTTTGTGTGAATATGTGTTTGACCTGCAGCCACGCTTTTTGTAAACTTGTACCGTGTAATACCTCTGGCATCCTTCCCAGGCCCGGAAGTCCGCAGGAAGTCACTTGGAGACAGTTCATTAATCTGAGTCACCTTCTTAGTTCCTGGCAGACGGTTTGACGACCCTGCCTCGTCTAGGTTTGGATTCTCATTTTCGTATTTAAAATGGGGATCCCTTACTTTGCTTTTCAAGATGCCCTTTTGAAAAAAGGGACTGTATTAGAGTCTCCTCTCCTATGCTGCTGACCCCCCGCTCGGTGACCCCCGCGCCCACGCGGACCCGAGGCCGTCCATGTGGCCCTGACCACGCCACGCCGCGCAGCCAGCAGAGCGTGTCCAGGCGGAACCGCGGCACGCCGCCCACTCGCGCACCTGCCCTCGGCTGGCGGGCTCGACTGGGAGCACGTGTCCCCAGCCTGAAGCGCCGGCTCACGGCTCCTCCCTCCGCATCCCTCGGCTCCGGCGTGGCTTTAGTCGGCACGGCTGGGAGCCAAACGCAGCAGCCTGTGCGCATTGAAAGGCCGCCTCCGCGCCACCTGGGTCTCGAGCCTTCCCTTTTGGTCCCGTAGTAAAGACATTTACGACCCAACGGATGTCCTTCCTTCTGTGAAGTTGTTCGCCTTGTAAGGCTGCCAGCTGGCTGTGCGCCGTTGGGTAAGGAATTCCTGCCCCGGTGCAGCTCGCTCAGAGGAAAACCTAGGGAGTGGCGAGCAAACCAGCCTTGAGCCTTTAGCCGGGCTGACGGACCCAGGTTTGGAAGCCTGCTTCCTGCACTGGTGCTCCTCCGTCCGGGCCGCTGTCAGAAGCACCTGGACTGAGAGGTGGCCGGAAGGCCAGGGTGGACTCTCTGCAGACCTGACCTTGACCCAGAGGCCCTGGGGCCTCCATTCCCCGCCTCCCCATGTGGCACCGCCCTTCCAGTGCTCAGGGCTCCCCTCCCTGCACTCCAGAACACTGCCCATGTGAAGCCCAAGCCCGTTCTCCAGAAACACCACCCAGTGACGGGAAATCGGGGCCCCAGAGCAGAGCAGGTATCCGCCTGAGGGAGAAACGGGGTCAGCTCCTTCCCGTTAGTGACCCCAAAACCTGAAACAAGGAGTCCCTCCATAACCAAACCTTTCATGAACACAAGCCATCAGCCATTTTGTGAATTAGAAAATATTTGTTTTAAATAAAAATTAGTACCATACATATTTACAAAAATGCTATAGGAAGATAACAGCAAATCATTTCCTGTGGGCCACCAAGGCTGGAGCAGCGCCCAGGAAAGCCCATCCCTTCTCTGCAGCCGGCACATGCCAGGCGTCCTGCCTCGGTCTCACCAGGACCCAGATACGCACACGGCCTAGGTGTGGTCACCCGGCCGTCCGAAGGCTGTGTCAACTCTCTCCTCGGTCTCCAGGAAGCACAGACAGAAGTGGTCCTTACTGAGAAGGGCCAGTGAGTCCCCGCTGAAATGCCAGCACAGAGAAAGCACCTGAAAGTCACCTGGAGAAAGGTGGCCAGAGGGTTAAAGGCTGAGAGCAACACCACACCCCATGGGCAGAGGACAGGCCCAGAGAGACCCAGCCCCAGCCCCAGATCAGCTCGGGGGGCCTTCTTACAACCTAGAGACGCTGCGAGCCCCAGGCCAATGCCAGGGCGTGCACGCTGGGGACTGGCTGTGCCGTTTACCTGAAGACACGGACAGTGACCCTCGCTTCACCCTTGAGACAGGAACGCGAACGAGCCAGGCTGTGCCCGTCCGCTGGGGTCCTGTCTGCAGCCAGCCAGGAGGAACTCGGGAACGCTGTGCTCACCTTCCCCAGGCACCTGCACCGACACGCAGCCCGCCGGCGACCACAGGTACACCTTGCTGCCGCCCGTGCAGATGGCCAGCCGGGGCCGCTGTGGGTCCCACTGGAAGGAGCGCACTGGGGACAGCTGCTCAAGCACCACGAAGAGTTTCAGCTTCTGTATGTCCCAGATCCAGATGGCATTCGGGACGCTGTCTGAGGAGGGAAGACGCGGCAGGTGCTCGGTTCCTCCCCGCGCCCCAAAGGCTGGGCCACGGGACCCATGGGCGCTGCTGCTCTGGGGTCTTCATGGGCCGCACACTCCCTGCCCCTCCCCCCAGGCTCACAGGCCTGACGACTGTTTCTATGCCCTGAAAAACCACAAACACCTTCCCTGTCTAAAACGGGCCCTCGGCCATCATGCTGTCCGGACCCTGTTCTTCACCAAACAGAGGACGAGGCCAGCGGTCGACCGGCTGCTGCTCTGCCCAGACAAGGCCTGCGCCTCCAGAAGCTTCCGCGGGCACGCCGTGCCAGCACCAGGGAGGACGCAGCCCTCCGGGAAGCCTGATACCTGGTTTCTTCTCCTCGGCTCTGAATGCCTGGGCACCCAAGGAAACCGCGAGAGGCCCGGTGCAGGCCTGTGGCCACTGACCGTTCCTTGTCGCCAGGAAGTAGTTGTCCGGACTAAAGGCCAGCACTCCTACGCCAACTTTCGGGTTTGCTCGGTCAGCGAGGGGCTTCAGAGTCTGTAAGGAAACTGGCGCGGAGGCAATCTCATCTAGAACATTGGAAGAGGGGATGCTGCGGGGTCGTCGTGGCGTGCACATCTGGGACCCCACCGCGGCCGCCCCCTGGCCCTCCCGCAGAATGACACCGGCATGTGAACACGTCAGGCAAACGCCTATGAAGTAGGGGCTTAGCCGTGTCCCGCGTCCAGGCAGCAGATGCACCTGCAGCAGCGGGGTCCACGGGGCGGAGATGCCCGGCCATGCGGGGCAGGGGCGTGTGGGAACTCGGGGCCTTCCCCTCACTTTGCTGTACACGTAAACTGCTCTACGGGAAAGTCTTAAACAACGTAAGACCTGCAGCAAAAGGTCGTAAGAGGATGAGAAGGCTGGGGGGGCAGTGTGCTCGCTGGGTCCGGGCCGCCCCCCTGAGGGTGCTGACAGAGCCCGGCCTGGCCACTGCTCCAGTGCCCCCTCTTGTCCAAAAGCCTGCATGGCGCCGCACAGAAGCGGAGACCCCACGGCCGAGACCCACAAGCAGCCCCGCGGCTGCAGGGCCCGGACGGACTGCTCCTACCCGTCTCGCTGACCGGGGGGCATTTGCCCAGTCATTAGGGAGATCGCCCGCGGAGCACCAGCTGTCAAGCCTGGGTTCCAGCACTTAGATGCAATCAGCAAACACCTCCCCCTGCTCTGCCGCTCCCCGAGTGAGGGCTGCTGGCTGAGAAGTGTTACAGGAAAGGGAAAATATAGCTAAAGGAAAAAAAACAATGTCCAGGGGCGCCTGGGGGGCTCAGTGGGTTAAGCCTCTGCCTTCGGCTCAGGTCGTGGTCTCAGGGTCCTGGGATCGAGTCCCGCATCGGGCTCTCTGCTCAGCGGGGAGCCTGCTTCTCCCGCTCTCTCTGCCTGCCTCCCTGCCTACTGGTGGTCTCTCTCTGTCAAATAAATAAATAAAATCTTAGAAAACAAAAAGGAAAGAAGAACATGGACGGCCCCGGCCTTCTGCTGCTCACATTTGCTCTCCGTGCTGGAGGCCGCGCCGGCTGCTGCCCTGGGTGGGGGGAAGGCCAGGCGGCCCAGCGCCAGCTGCGGGTTCTTCTCGGCTTCCTTATACACCACCTGGAACACACAACAGTCTTGCCACCAGCCCGCGCGGCACGGGCAGGAACACAGGCGGTGACAGCACCTGATAATGGTGACGCCTGACCTCGTGGCAAGGGGTGCTGTTCCTGGGGACAGGAGGGACCCTGCCCAGCAACACCCGCTCCCTCGTGAGGTTCTTAACGCCCTCCGTGTGTGCTGGCGGCATACAAACCTGCATCACGCGGCCAGCGGCTCGGCCAGCGCACACAGGCATTTCCCAGGAGGCAAGGCCCAGGAAACGAGGGGGCATCTGTGGACTGAGGCCTGAGAGGCCCATGCCCGAGGAGGTGAGGAGCCCCAGCCTGCCTTACAGCTTTAGAAGGCGCTGGGGCTGTGGCTGGAAGGACCTGCAGCACACCCTTCCAGGGCAATACGGCCCGGCCCCCTTGGACTCGGCCTCCCACAACCTTGCCCACACCTCCAGCCCAGTGCCTCCTCAGGGCCCCGCCTGAGCCTGACTTCCCCAGGTATCCCCCCCTCTTCCTTCTGTTTTCACTCATGTTTCTCATCTGTGGGCAAGTTCCCCAAGGCCAGGGTCTGTCTATCCCCGGCTGGGCTGCCCCCGCCCCCAGCACCTGCCTCAGGACCTTTGCACTTCCTGTTTCCACTGCCTGAACCGCTTCTCCCTCAGATCCTGTATCACTTCTTCCTGGCATCTGACGCTGTGATCCCTCAGCACACTGCCAGTCCCTGCCTGCTCGGGGACACCCACTTTCTATTTTTCTGGTCTGGTTCTCACCCCTAGATATCTGCTCAGTGCCGGCAGGTGGGAGACCCTGGTTACAGTGCCGAGAGCAGGGGCAGATCTGTGACATCTGGGGAGGGGGAGGGATAGGGCAAGGACACTCTTTCTAGTCCTGTGAAATGTTACAGTGACAGAAGTTTCTGGGGGCACTGGGTGGCTCAGTCATTAGGCATCTGCTTTTGGCTCATGTCGTGATCCCGGGGTCCTGGGATCGAGCCCCGCATGGGGCTCCCTGCTCAGCAGGGAGCCTGCTTCTCCCTCTCCCACTCCCCCTGCTTGTGTTCCCTCTCTCGCTGTCTCTCTGTCAAATCTTTTTTTTTTTTTTTTTTTTTTTTTTTTAAAGAGAGAGGGGGCACGCCTGGGTGGCTCGGTGGGTTAAAGCCTCTGCCTTCGGCTCAGGTCATGATCCCAGGGTCCTGGGATCGAGCCCCACATCGGGCTCTCTGCTCCACGGGGAGCCTGCTTCCTCCTCTCTCTGCCTGCCTCTCTGCCTACTTGTGATCTCTGTCTGTCAAATAAATAAAATCTTTAAAAATAAGTAAATAAATAAATAAAAAGAGAGAAGAAAAACACAGTGACATAAGTTTCTAGTGATATAAGTGCCTGGATCACAAGGAACAGCGTGAAGAGAAAAGCGCATTTTTCTACCTCCCTTCCCCAAATACTGCCCTGATGGAGGCCCGCATTCCAGACTTACTATTTTGGGATTAGTAACAGTTGCTGGATGCCCAAACTCTGTGATCATTTTCCAAGTCACGTGATTAAGAATGCGCACCTGGGGAGAGAACATGCGCGTGAGGCCCGGCCTGCGCTGGGCCCTCGGTGTTCCCGCGTGCGCTGCGCTGTCCTCACCTTCCCATCGTAGCTTCCCACCGCCAGGAACTGGCTGCTGGGGCTCCAGGCCACCGACTTGACGCCCAGGAACCACTCGTAGGCACAGTAGGCAGACAGAAGCCGGCCGTCCAAGGAGTAGAGCAGGACCTTGTACTGAAGGAGACACCACGGTGGCTGAGTCTGGTGCTGACCTGAGCCGGGGAAGGACACAGACGCCTGCCAGCAGGACTGGGACAGTGTGTGGGACATTGGAGGGAAGATAGTGGCGACAGTGGGGGACCCTGGCCACAAACGTAAGGACTTTGTCGTCAAAGGACTGCAGCTCCGCATCGGAGCCCAGGAGGCTAACCGGGCCGCCGCAGAACCTCAGGTAAACACAGGTCACAGCGCTTAAGTCACAGAGCTCTACCTGGTCACTTTCTATACCTCCAGACAGGTGTCCCACACCGCCAGTACACAGCCGTTTGGGGCCCACTCAATCCCTGCGAGGTCCTGGGTCTCCGTATCAAAGTGCTTCCAAAGGCAAAAGCGAGAAACATTACTTTTGAAAGTGTTTCCTTAAACAAAGGCACAATTTATAACTGAGGTTTTTATTTTACACATTTAGTATTTAATTTCTTTATATAGAAATGGACAAGAATATCTATAGCTCTGTCCTTCCATAATTAAAATCCTGCCGGAGCACCAAGGAGGTCCCAGGCTGGCCAGCACATGGCTACGCCCACCAGGCAGGAAAGGGCCCAGCACAGTCCCTCACGCTGCCCTCCCCGTGCTCCCCTCTCCCTCCTCTTCCCGCCTGGCTCAGCCTCACTCCTGCAAGGCCAACTCAGGCAAGATTGTGCCAGGACCCTCCATGCCCAGTCAGCAAGGACTCCTTGGTGCTCTGATGGAATGGCCATTCCCATTCCAGAAGCTTCTCTGCACCCGGCCTCCCGCAGATGTAAGCCCGGCCAGGGCAGGGCTCTGCGCCCTGGGCTGCCGGCACCGCAGCACCCTGGCATCTTGCCCAGAGTAGGCACTCCGCCTCCTCCAGCCACACACACGCAAATCCCACTACGCTAACAGAAGGAAAATGCTCCCAAGGACGGCACGTCCCGTCCACCGCACACCAGGTGGGCCCATGCTCCGCACTCGGACAGAGGACGTCACCTGTCACCCAGTGTCCTGAAGGGGCCCCAGAGCTGTCGGGAATGCCCACGTCGGCCACCCCGCGCCGCAGGCTCCCCGAGCACGCCCTACCCGCAGCAGCTGCCAGTCGCTGCAGACGAAGACGCTCACGTGGTCCTTGCAGTCGCGCCGCTCAGCTAGCGCCAGGTAGCGGCCGTCCCGGGTGAAGGAGATGCCTGCCGAGGGGAACAGGGCCTGCTGTCCCCGGCCGAGCAGGACAAACCACACCTTCGAGGAGGGACGGGACATGGGAAGGGAAGTAGAGGCCGCGGGAAGGGGCGGGTGCGCGCAGCCCACAGGAGAGCCACGACACAGTGACTGTGGCTCGGGCTCCAGCACCCGCTGGGCTGCTCTGCGGAACTCCGCCAACCCGGGCCGCGACCTGCGAGAAAACCCGGAACCGCGGGCTGTGACTAAAAGGTGCGCCTCGCACCTCACAGGACACGGGTCGTCGCGTCTTTAGAAAATAAGTCACAGGGAATTCCACTGGTTTAAAGTCGGTTCTCATTACACGTTGAATTTTTACTTTTGAGTTTGACTACTTGGGAGAAGTGAACTTAAGCAAAAAATTTGGAAATAGACTTTGGTTGAAAATGTTAATTTTCCGGTTCCGTATGAGCTCAAAAAGCCCTGGGCCACATCTCACGCGTCGTGAGCCAGAAGAACACACAGATGACTTTGCTTCCACTCAGGAAACGTGTTTGCCTTCCGGAGAGACCCTGAGATCCAAGTTGTACAGATAACGAACGAGCAGTTGCATTTCATTCAAGTTCCAAACTGCTAATGGCAACAGGAAAAAGGGAAAAATATTCAAATCGTGTAAGGCCTCCTTCTGCTCGTGAAATGAAAGACTAAGACTGCGTGTTCAGGAACGGGTCCCGCGAGCTCCTGGCGGCAGCGGGCCGGGCGTGCGGCACCTTCCCGAGGTCACCTGGCTGCACTTCCCGGCACGGCGACCACAGGGGTAGCCGCCAGGAGGCCTAGAGGCTTGAAGTTCAGAACTGGGGTGGGGGAGCGGCTCCCGGGAGGGGCATGAGCTGAAGGCACCTGGGCCCAGTCCTCCGACAGGGAAGGGGACCACGTGTAAACCCTACTTCTTTGAGGCCCTTTAATTCGACCTCGTCCTCTGAGACACGCGTGGGACGTCACCGATGCGGCATTAGCAGGTCTGGGTGCGGAGGCAGAGGGCTGGCTACGCACGGACACGCTGCTGAGGCTACGTGTGCCACAAAGTGTCCGTGATAGAGAGGGCACGCGCTCCCTGGACCCCAGCCACGCGGAAAGGCTTAGAGCCGCTCCGGCCACTCACCCTGCTGACAGGCTTTCGGGTACTTGATGTAAGACACAGACTTCGTGCACAGGGACCAGACAGTTATCCGCAGCTGTCGAGGAAAAGGGGAAAGAAAACAGTGTAGACTTAGCAGTTTCCGAGACGGGCTTCAGGCCTCCCACAGTCTCCCACTCTGCGACCCGAGTAAGCCGTTTGCTGCAGAATTAAAACCAGTGTCGTTCCAGGGAGGTTTTCTGTTGTGAAACGTCACGCCCTTGGTATTTGGTTTTCATTTTGTAACGTTGTAGGCGACAGACACAAGGTCAAACGTAAGTGCGTTGAGGTTTGAAATTTCCAAGGAATGACGGTTTTCCTCCTGCAACAGATCTGCAGAGGCTCTGCAGTCCGAGACACATGTCCCCGTGGGGGGCGCTGGAGGGGACGCCGGAGGGGACGCCGGGGTCCCCAGCACTGAGGGAGGTCGGCCTGGCTCCCCCTGTGCCTCTGAAGACGGCGGCGTCTGGGCTGACCACTGGGCAGCCGCCCGTCCTCTCTTTTCCCACCCGAGTGCTCGGCGGTATGGACACGGCCCCATGTGCCCAGGAAAAGCCCGGAGGGGACGCGGGACTCTACTTCACAACACTCGTGTGTCCAAACCCCCATCTGCACCTGTAACCAATACTGAGGGTCTACAACCCCCCAGACCCCTTCAGAGCCTACAAGTGAAGAGCCTAGTTTTGTTTCTGAAAACTGTCTCTGTGCCCTCCCATCGGCCGGCGTGGAAGTCCACCACCTGCTGAGTGTCCTTAGTCACAAGGAAAACGCAGACCAGACCCCAAGGAGACCCCACGACACAGCACCAGGAGCAGAAACCTGGAGTGACAAGCGTCAGTGGGACTCAGGGCTCCTGAGCTCTCGCCTCCGGTGGCCAGGGCGCAGAAGGGCATGGGAGAGGCGCGTCGGCCGCTTCCTAAAATGGCCCGCAGGGACCTCCCTCCCGGCATCCCACCCCGGAGGCTCCCCGAAACACACTCCCGTGCACGCTCAGAGCAGCTTTGCTCATCACGGTGCACGTGGGAAACAGCCCGCCGTGTGTCCCAGGGCAAGTGGAAAGCAAACGCCTGCCCCCGAGCAGCACGGCGGCGCCCAGCACCGGAGCCACCCACGGACCCCTCGACGGCACGGCGCCACACAGTGGCCGCCTGCCTGCCACGTGGTCCCACTGACAGAGAACGTGGCCCCTGGGGCCAGCGTGGGGATGGACAGGGCGTCCCTGTTCCCACAGTGCAGGTGCCAGAAGTGGGGGCTCCGCTCACCAGTAGTGGACTGGCTTTGCGGACGTGCATGAGAAAGTCTGTCCGTTGACTGGGGCTGGGATGTGGCAACGTGGGGAGGAACAGGCCTGAAGCAGAAGAGCCAGTCACGTGACCAGCACGGCCGTGACAACCGGCCACGGGGCAGGGAGACTCATGCGAGGTGGAGAAGGACGAGGCACAGCAGAGGTTCAAGCGCAGGACAAGGGCCTCGCCGGGCTCGGCCAGTGACAGCCTCACGCGCTCGCTCAGAACCCCCCCAGACACTGACACGCTCTCAACCCAGGGGCTCAGACTGTGTGCAATGGGCACATCCACAACCAACAACCGAACAGGAAGAAAAAACAGACGTTCAGGGCACCTGGTGGCTCAGTCAGTTAAATGTCCAACTCTCGGCTTCGGCGCCGGTCAGGATCTCAAGTCCCGGGATCGAGCCCCGAGCCGGGCTCCACGCCCAGTGCGGGAGTCTGCTTGGGATTCTCCTGCTCCCTCTCCCTCCCCTGCCCTGCCCTCACCTGCGCTTGCTTTCTCTCTCAAATAAATACATCAATCAAAAAATCTATTAAAAATGTTTTTTTAAAAATCAGAAATGTCCTGCAAATATAAAGAAATTCAGTTCTTGATAAACATTGCTGGGAAAAAGCTAAAAGTGGATCCCTACCTCACCCCATATGCCATTCGGGCTCCACACAAACCTGAATCACGTACGTAAATGAAGCGTGAGACTCACACTTCACACACCTCACGAATGAGAGTGTCCAGGTGTGTAAAACAAGACACGGGGGCATTCGACCTCACTGACGGAGAAATGAAAACTAAAACCAGGGGCAACAGCCTGTGGCTCTTGTGGGCCGGGTCGTTTTAAAGCCGGACACAAATGCTTTGGAAAGCTGAATGCCACCTGCCTCACCCAGGCAGTCCCCGAGGTCAGGGCAGAGACAGGGCGTCCACGCAGGTCACGCGTGGTCCCGGCGCGGCACGGCATGATCTCCGCGAGGAGCCGGAAGCACAAGCCACGCCTTCCGTGCGCAGGAACTGAACCCCATCGGGGGACAGAACTGCCACAGGGTGCGGAGCACGAACTCCAGTAACAAACTTTACACACATGCGACCAAACAGCAGTGTGTGCACGCGTGTGTGCAGGCACGTGCCAGTTTCCCTTCTGAGACTCCTGGCGCCTTGTCCAAAGGACACAACTGTCATGGGGACGTACGGGAGGCAGGGAGCCCGTGGAATGTGCCCGTCTGGAGACTGGGTTCTGGCCCCAGGGGTCCAAGCCACGGAGACGGTCGGGCGAGGCCGTTTACCCAGCTCAGAGCCCCGCATCTGAGGACTCCGAGCTGCAAGTGTCTACGTGGGCACCACAGGGAAACCAGTCGTGTCCCGCTCCCTCTCCCACAGCCTGTGTCCGCAGACACCACAGCTAGAGCAGGTTTTCCAGCGGAAGCTGAAGCCGTGTGAGGCCGCGTGGCCCTGAAGCAGCCAACCCTGCAAGCTGGGGGCAGAGCGAGCCCCAGACCACGGCCACGCGGAACACCCTGCAGCGCGCCAGGGGACATCCCACAGGGTCCTCCGCCTCCTCCTGGCTGCCTTGCTGCATGCACGCACTGGGCAACGGGGAGCCCAGACCTCAGACAGCCCTCGGGGGTTTCAGACCCAAATGCTGGTTCTAACACCCCCTCAAAAATCACACCGTTGAAGGGATTCGTTGATTTTTCTGCACCAGAAACAAACATGGCCAACACCAAAGACCTTCTACCCTAACACCTTATACTTCCCAAATTCCCTAATTTCACACACCGAGGCGTACTTCTACTATCCTGGGACTTATGGCTAGATCTCAAACACCCGTGTCCATATGTGGAGCCCAGTGCAGTGCCAGGGCCCGGGAGCGCCAGTGTGGGAAGAACAGAAGGACGAAGCAGTGACCGACGGTCGGGCGCAGGTCAGGCAGCTGAAGGGGAAAACGGAAGCTGGTTCGCAGCGCAGCGCACCTCCTGCTGTCAGAGGGTCTGCTTGAGTCCTTAAAATTGTAGCTGAAGAATTTTTTTTAAATCTGCTTTCTGGGGTGCCTGGGTGGCTCAGTGGGTTAAAGCCTCTGCCTTCGGCTCAGGTCATGATCTCAGGGTCCTGGGATGGAGCCCCATATCGGGCTCTCTGCTCAGCGGGGAGACTGCTTCCCTCTCTCTCTCTCTCTCTGCCTGCCTCTCTGCCTACTTGTGATCTCTGTCAAGTGAATAAATAAAAATCTTTTTAAAAATCTGCTTTCTTTTTCTTTAAAACTGGGCAAAAAGATGACATAACGACACGATGTGATTCTAATACTCAGACGACTTAAGCCACAAGTCTTTCTCGGAAGTGCACCCGCTTTCTGGCTACCTCATGGTTTCACGGCAATCGTCAGTGACATGCGCCTGCGCACTCACATGGAACTCGGTGGTGTTGAGAATGTGGCGGCCGTCCGGGCTCCAGCATGAGGCCACCAGCCCGGCCGAGCCCTCGTCGATTCTGCAGTGCCATTCTGGCTGCTCCAAGGACCACACCTGCGTTTGCAACACACACAAGTGAGCAGAACCACAACAGATCAGCACACGGACCACGTGGAACCCAGCTCCCGACCCAGGGCATCTTTCCCGGTGTTTCCGGAGGGGCCGGGGCCTGACGGCAGCATGAAGCCACACGGCTGCATGACCTCACTGGGCTGAGTTTTAAACAAGCTACGCCAGCCCTACGAGCTCCTTCAGGAGACTCTGGATCTGTACACCACATGTGCGCTTCCCAAAACCCACGATGTCCACGTTCAGGGTCTCTGAACACTTTCTGTTACGGAAGTCCATTTCGTTACAAATTAAGAAGATCTAAGTATTTTCTTGTTTTGAAAGTACTTAAACCGTTAGAACTAATATAATTTTAAGACAAAACTGGCTTTGAACTACACTGCCCTTCCCCTGCCCCCAAACCATGAGGGCAACAGAACACGATCACCCTGTCCAGGCCGCGCTCTGGGAAGGCCTCGGGACTGTGGGCCCTGCGGGCAGCGCACCTGCACCAGCCCCCGCTTGTACATGGCGCACAGGATGAACCGGGAGTCCGCCGACCACTCGGCGTGCTGGATCTGGTCCAGGCACGTGTACAGCCGGAGGACCTGGAGGGTGTTTACGTCCCGGATCACTAACCGGTACCGCACACAAGAAGCCTGCAAGGGAAAAGAGAGGCCTCGATGGTCTACAGTGTAAAGCCAGGGGCCTTCAGAGCGTCTGTGCTCACCTCCGTGCAGGAGCGCCCCTTCCTCCTCTCCCTTCAGACGGGTCTTCCATCGGGACCGCCTCCTGTTCCCGACTGCATCGCCCGCTCCAGAGAAGTCCTCCCAGGATACAGTCGAAATATACAAACTACGTGTGAAAACTGACATTCCAGGGTACAGTACTCTGTTCAAACTCTCCACTTGAGTCATTTTCTACTCATTTCCACGTGGGACGAGCACTTCTGTGAACTAACCAAGGGCTCTGCTGCTCGAGCCCTGCAGACGAGTCACAGGAAGTAAGGACGGAGCTCTCGGGTCCTCACTGAGGAGGCCCACTGAGACGTAAGGATGCTGTGCAAACGCTCGCTGACTTCGAGGGAACAGAGCATGTGCACCAGCCTCTGCCCCGGACTCTGGCTCAGGACTCCTGTGAGCCCCTTGAAACCTCCTGGGTGACGGGAGCATCTTTTTTTTTTTTTTTTTAAACTTTATTTATTTATTTGACAGAGGGAGAGAGATCACAAGTAGGCAGAGAGGCAGGCAGAGAGGAGGAAGCAGATTCCCTGCTGAGCAGAGAGCCCGATGCGGGGCTCGATCCCAGGACCCTGAGACCATGACCCAAGTGGAAGGCAGAGGCTTAGCCCACTGAGCTCCCCAGGTGCCCCAGGAGCATCTTTTGTTCTAATGAAGCAACTCTAGGTGGGTTTCTTGGTCACCAGAAATACTGGCCATGGTTAGAAGCTTGGAATTTTCAGCCCCATCCCATCCTCCAGAGAGAGGAGAGGGGCTGACCATGGAGTTAACAACTAACTGATCACGAGGAAGCCACTGTAAAACGCCGACAGTGTGGGGGTCAGAGAGCTTCCAGGCTGGCGAACACACCACACAGGGAAGATGACGCAGCCCACCCCCATGAGGACCGAGGCTCCTGCACACGACAGAGACCCTCCCAGACCTTGTCCTATGTATCTCCCCACCCATCTGGCTGGTCCCCTGTATCCTTTATCCCGTGCCTTAACACAATGGCAAATGTAAGCCAGTGTTTCCCTGAGTTCTGTGAGCACCTGAAGGGTCTGTCGGGAACCTGAAGGCCTGCCACTGTGGCTGGCATCTGATGTGGGGTGTCTACTGTCCACCTGTGGGTCTCCAGGCGGATCGTAGAACTGACTGGAGATGTAGGACACCCCACTGGTATCCTGGAGGCTCCAAAGAGACGTGTGGGACGACGACTATGCTTTCCCAGCACAGGAGGGAAAAGCAGGGACATTTTTCCTACAGTTGCACTGCCTCATTCCAAATGCTGACTATGAAAATGTGTAAGTGTCAATGCTGTTTTCCTGAACACAGTTTGTGGCCATGGTTGTTAATAATGCCCGTATCTAAGCAAATAACTTGAATTTACTTATGTGCTGACTGAAGATTAGATTACAACTTAGAAATCAAGAACTGATTTTTAAATGTTAATGGCTTCCTTCTTATCCTTATCAATGTAAAACTAGATTATTGGTTTGTGTTCTATGAACTTTCATCTTAAAAAGGCCCCATGAGGGGCGTCTGGGTGGTTCAATGGGTTAAGCCTCTGCCTTCAGCTCAGGTCATGATCTCAGGGTCCTGGGATCAAGCCCTGTATCGGGCTCTCTGCTCAGCAGGGAGCCTGCTTCCCTCTCGCTCTGCCTGCCTCTCTGCCTGCTTGTGATCTCTGTCAAATATATAAATGTATAAATGAAATCTTAAAAAAAAAAGGGGGGGGCCTCATGAGTTTTCTTTGTCAAAAGGAGAGGGGAGGGCAATTGTGGATCAGAAGAAACAGGGGTCACGGTGTAGCTTTCTGATCAGTTACAATTAACCCCTTATGAAATGGAACATCTGTATCAACACTTGTGAAACTCAAATCTGTTGCAAGATATTAAAATGGCAACACAGACCTACTTTCTTTAGGATTTAGGATAGACTTTTGAAGAACAGGATTCCAGTAACGTTATAATGGAGTGTCCTGCAGAATTTTCACCAAGGCGGAGAAACCACAGAGCAACAAAAAGGAAGCAAAGTAATACAATGTTTCTTTCCACAATTTACTGGGGTTTTCAGAAATGATTTTTAAGGACCTAATTTATGGGGAGCACTTTGAGTAACATACCAAGGCTTCTGGGGTGAATTAAGCAGAAGACGTTATGTATGTGTTAGCTGAATGCCGGTTTACGTGATTTAGAGTAACACCTCTACAAAGGAGTTGTGTTCTCAAAGACCTAGACAAACAACAGGAATGTCAGTAAGTCCCCATCTGAGAAAGAACCAGGGGGCATCAGTCAGTTCAGACACACAACTAAGTGCACTTTTACAAGGCATGATCTTTTCTTACTGGATTTCCAACGTCTAGTATCTCCCCGCTCCTGCCTCCGCACACAAGGTTCTGAGGATATACACTGATGATACTGGCCTATTTCAAAGCTTACATTGCCCGGACGGAGTCGCTCAGTGAGTTCAGCACCATTCTGTCACCCCAATATTGAACAGTCCAAGTCCTAGAAGCTCAAAGGAGTGCAGACAATGCCGTGTGTCGGGACACAGGCTGCTGTTCCTCCCATCACTCATGGGGCCGGGGCAGACACAGGTGAAGGCGGCGGGAAAAGACCAAGTAGCTGCACCAGACCAGACCACAGCCAGTGGAGTCAGGCGTTTGCCTTACGTGTCAGCCTGACAATGAGCTGATGCCCTCGGATCTGCAAATGTGTGAAGCAGGACTGCCTCTGCCTGCCTCTGAGGGACGAAACCCGGGGCAGGGAGGCTGGCACCTGCCCAAGCCTGGTTCGTGGGGCTCCTGTTTGGAGCATCTGCCCAAGTCCTCTGCCCTGATCCCCTGCTCTACTATGCACCCGGGTCACCTACCCCCCGCCTGGGATATTTGTCTGGTCCCCTGCCCAGGACCCCAGCCTGCGCCCCCCGACCCGAGCCCCTGCCCTACTATGCACGCGGGTCACCTGCCCCCCACTCGGGGTATCTGCCCGGTCCCCCGCCCAGGACCCCAGCCTGAGCCCCGTGTCCCAGGGCCCCTGTTCCAGGCATCCGCCCGGGTCCCGGGAGCGAGGCCCGTATTCGCGGACCCCCGAGCTGCCTCCCCCCGGGCCCCGAGGTCGCTCACCAGGTATTTGCCGTCCGGGGAGAACTTGCAGAGCAGGCTGGAAAGCTTGAACACCTCAGAGAAGTTCATGGCGGCCGCCTAGCCCGGGGCCCGGGAACGTCAGTCCAGCCCTGCAGAGCTGCCTCAACCGCTACCTCCGCGGCCGGAAGTGACGGAGGACGAGAGCACGGCGCAGCCTATCAGGACCCCGGGTGCCCGCGCAGCATTGTGGGGCTTGTAGTTCCTGCAGTCCCGCGCCACCGGGCGCCGCTTTCCGCGCAGGCGGTCCCCTCCCGCTGGGGTTGGCGGGGGCGGGGCGCAGCGCGTGCGCTCAAATTGAATTTCAAACAACGAATCATGTTTGCGGATAAATGTCCCCAAAACCGCACGGGACACATTACACCAAGAGTCCCCGCTTATCTGAAGTTCGGCTGTGCAGGGACGTCCGGTTGGACGGCATTTGCACTGACAGGTGACTACGCGGGCACAGCCACACAGACACGCTCGCCTAGGAGACGCAGTCGTGTGCACACGCGCGGGCTGTTCCACACGCGCGGTGTAAATGCGCATTCGTTTGCTCTTTGAAGCTGCGTCGGCCTCCCTGCCTGTCGTGAGGCCCTCGCCCACCTCGGGTGGCACCGGGATCTGGGGAGAACCACGCGGACGCGGGCTCCGCAGGGCCGGGGGGCGCGCGCACCCTCCGGTTCTCCGCACGCGCGCATTTGGACCCGCGTACGGCAGAGGGACCGGCCGGAGGCCCGAGGCGTGCCGGGAACCTCGGCACGCGGGGCCGCGCGCACCTGCGTCAGCGTCGCGCACCTTGCTCGCTCCCCAGCTAGCGCCTTGAACTCATGCCCTCCGGGAACCCCTGGTCCTCCTTCCCCGAAGAAGGCTTCCCCCAGGCCCTGCCCAGGCCCTGCCTGCGCCTCCGCACCCTCCCGGGGCGCGCGGACCCGGACCCGCGCCTCAACCCTCCTTCTGGGGACCCAGACCCAGCCTGGCTCCCCCGCACACCTCGGTGCGCACAGTCCCCCGCCTGCCCCCCGCGCACCCCCCCCCGCCAGCTTCCTGGAACAAAACCGTAGGGGATGCGTGTCCGCGTCCGGGTAGGCGGTGCCAGCCTTTTCTGTCCCGGGTCAAATCAATCCGTGCTCGTGATTCGTCTTTGTGTCCCCAACCCCCGCGCCTTCAAACCAGGACGTGAGCCGTGGAGGTGTGCAGAAGTGAGCCAGGCGCGCCAGGTGAGAGGCAGACCCTTGCGGCCGGAGTACCCGGTCTGCACCAGCCCGGCTCGGACGCAGTTCCACAGGCGACACTGCCGTGAGGGTCACGCAAGCCCGGGGACGGCGGTTCCGAGGCAGATAACAGGTCCCGTGAGCCCCAGAACGCAGCGCACAGCAGGGGCCTGCCGCCGAGCGCCTCTCCGAAAGTGACAAGCGCGTGGGTTCTGCGGCCGAAGCCCCGCCCTGCGTGGGTTCCGGCCCCCAGAGCCGTAAATGTCACGGGTCCTAGGGAAGACTTGCCCTGAGGCGGGTCTCTGCGTGTAGAGAGCAATTCCAAGTGCACAATCCGCGTTTCGCCGTGGACACCCACGCGTACCTGCGCGAACGCAGAACAGAAACCGGCGCGCGGGGCCAGCAGGCCGTGGCCAGGGGAGGGAGCAGGGTGCGGGCGGTGATCTGGGAGTGTTTGCGTCACAACCTCCGCCCAGGAAGGCCCTGGGCTGGGGCCAGAGAGTCTCTCCCAGAGGGTCCCCGACGTTCTGCAATGCCGGGCGGGGCCACGACCTTGGGTCGGTGACAGTGTAGACGTCGCGCCCTACTCCGAGTCCCCCTGGAGCCACCCGGGGGCAAATGGCCCCACCCAATCCACCCCTCCACCCCCGGCCCTGTGGCCGCGACCCTCACCCCTGTTCCCCGAAGCTAGGGCGGACCCTCCGCGGACCAGGAAGGCCCTTCTCCTGTTCTTGGAGTCTGAGCGCCCGGGGAACGGAGGGTCCCAGCGCCGGTTGGGGCGGGAGGGCAGCCCCGGGTGTCGGGAAAATGCGGCGTCTAGGCCAAAACAAGGCTTTAGGACGCGGAGTCTGCTTCTCTCCGCCCTCGCTCCTGCGCGCCCTTGCCCGCCCCCGCAAGCCGGCGGAGGGTCGCGGTCCCCGCTCGTCGGCGGGAGAGCCTCCGCGCCCGGCCCGCGTCCAGCCCCGGGTAGGCGGCCCGGCAGGCTGCGCGGGGTCCACGCGCGCCAAAAGGCGGCGGGAAGGAGGCGGGGCAGAGCGCGCCCGAGACCCCGACTCGCGCTCGGCCAGCTGGGGGGGCGGGGCGCCGGCGGCCACCTCGGCCTCCTCCCGGCCCCGCCGCCCGCGCTCCTCCCGCCGCGCTGAACGGCCCGCGCTGCCTTCCCGCCCGGCCGGCGGCCCAAGGCGCTAACGCCCGCGGCCGCCCCTGCCCGCGGCGCCTCCCCTCCCCGCGCCCATTTAACCCGCCTGGGCAGCCCGCGCTCGCCCTGCACCCACTACGGGGCCAGCGCCCGCCGGCTCCGGCGTCGATGCCCCCGACTCCGACCGCACCAGGTAGGAAGCGCGGCGCGGCCTGCCGAGGCCGAGCGCAGGGCGGCGGGCACTGGGGCTCCGAAGCTCGGGGTTGTTAGGAGGGAGGCAGCGTGCAGGCGCAGGGAGAATGGGTACCGTGGGGTGTCCCTCCCGAGTCCAGCCGGCTCCTGGGAGGTTGCGCCGGCGGCGGGAAGCTGGCAGAGTTCAGCCCCGCCAAGAGATGCGGGGTCCTGTCCGAGTGCCTTTGGGGCCAGGAACAGCCGTGCTGGGGCTGGGATTCCCCGAGGCCTTCCTCCAGTTGACCCCTGTCCACCCCCGCTTCCAAGGGGAGGCTCAGGGAAGGCAACGGGGAAGAGGCTCGGCGGGAGGGCAGGAGCCGGTGGAAGTTGGTGAAAGTGCAGGTCCGAGGAGGCCCTCCCGCCTCTGCCCGCTCTGTGCGCGCCCACAAGGGCCCTGCAAATCCTGCGGCGTTACTCCCCCACTCCCCAATGCTGAGCGAGACCCAGGCTCCCCTGGACCAGCAGAACTGGGCACCACCGCCGAGCCAGCTCCATGGAGTCGGTGACTAAGGGCCCCGGTTCCAGAGGGCCACCTCCAGGTGGTTCAGAGCTGCCCCCCCGCCCCAGCCTGGCTTCTGAGTGTGTCCAAGTGGAGAGAGGATGGGCAGAGTCGCCCCCCCCCCCCAGCCCGGGGAAACAGCACCTCCAACCTGCCTCCCTCTCCTCCTTGCCTAGCCGCTGTCCTCTCAGCCTTTGGAGGGAGGAAGCTAGTACCTTCCTACTCAGCTTGTATTGTCGCCTGGTCCCTAAGTGGATATGCAGAAAGCATTCACCGGTGACATAAATAGATGGTGACAGGTAGACCACTGTCAACCAGCAAGGGGCCAGGAGGCCAGGCATGGCGAACTTCTGACCAGAGGTCAGTCGGTCCAAATGGACCGTGTCTGTTTATTAAATAACCGGATGTTTGGGAACCGTTCGCACAACTGGCTTTGTTTGCTGTCGTCGTCGCTGTTCACCTGTTTAGCCGTAATAATTAGCTTCGGAAGAAAATGAGTGGAGCGAGCTATTTCGCGTTGTCCCGCGGAGCTGACTGTTCCGTCCGGCCGCCTGGCATCTGCTCTACTCACAGAAGCTAAAAGGACATCGCACTGAGGACAAAAAGACGGGATGTCTGAAATTTTGCAACGTACACATTTGCGGATTGTGCGTGCGGCTTTAAAAAGGGTTGGAGAGGTGCGCGTGCTCGGTCATCGGCGGTCAGGGCTGCAGGTGAGCTGGTCTGGCTGCTGCTACCTGGGCCCTGGCCCCAGAGCGCTTACGCACCACGCCGCTCACTGACCTTCCGGTGAAGGCTATAGGGAACAGGGCACTGTCTCCAAATCCGGAAGGGTAGCCCATGGGAGAGCCGGTCTGGTACAGACGTTAAGCAGGTAGTTGTGGGAGTCAGGATCCTCAGGTCCGGATCCCCTCTTCTCCACGGACAAGTCCATGCCTGGCGTCCACTAACTGGGCCCAGAGGGACGGCTGTGGTCCTCGGTGCTGCTCCTGAGTTGGGAGCCTGGGGGGCGGGGGCAGCTGCGGGGCCCACAGATCCCCTCCTCCCCGCAGAGGGAGTGGAGTGGCTGACTTGGGGGCAGGAATCTGCCCAGGGCTTGGGCGAGGCTGATGGCCCCAGTCCCCGGCATGGTGGGGAAGATGCCTCCGTTCGGGATCTATTTATAGACTATGCCCCACCCACATCCAGGAGTGGATTTACAGCCTTGAACACATGTAAGGGACGCAGCTAAAAGGGAGGCAGAGAGGCTGAGGACTTAAGGAGAGAGGCAAACGTTCACCCCGAGGTTCTGACACCTGAAAGGGAACTCATTTCATTGGTGGGGGAGTAGAAGCCGCGTGGTCATCCGCATGGGAGACAGTTTCAAGGGGAGTCCGTCCTCTAGATACTTATATAAAAGTCGTGGCTAAAACAAAATATCGGAGCAAAAAGCCGTTGCACACATAGTGAACTTTGGGTTTGCAAAAAAGTAGAAGCATTTTCCAAGTGTGTTTATTCTATCCAGCTCCCGTGAAAAGGGAGGGCACACCTTTATTTCCCAGTTCGTGCATTTCTGTGGGAGGGCTGGGACAATATTTTAACATATGTCATTTTCTGGTGGCTTAACTTCATACAACAGAAAAGGGAAAAAGACAGAGGGGCGGCTAAGTAATGCAGCTGCGCTCCCTTGCTCTCCTGGGTGGGGGTCTTCCCTCCTGTGGGAAAAGCTTTATTGCCGACCCATTCCCCCAACCCTCACCCAGTACACTGTGGATCATTTTCCCATGGCTGAGGGCATCCAGTCCTGTCCAGACTTCTTTAACAAACACAGAACACACTCCTGTAATTAGCAGCATCTACCTGTGTGTTACCAAAACACACAGCAATGTCGCCTTTGAAAAGTTTGCCTTCTTAAGTAAGTTATGGGAGACTCCTAGAAGATCTTTTCGTCGTGTGTTCTGTAGAGGAAAATGGGTTCTGGTTTAGAAACGCTCCCCCTGCTCATTGGGGTTCAAGTTAAAGACAAGTCATAGGTCTGAGGGATGAGCACTGCGGTTGTAAACGGTTATAAACGTTAGGTCTGTTCCCGGGCCCCCACCCCGCCCCGTCTCTGCCCACTCTCTGGCAGAGCAGACATTTGCTCATCAAAAGCGCTCTTCCCCCCTCCCCTCCTCCGGACGTGCTGCCCTAAGTCAGAGACCTGGAGAGAGAAAAAAAATCCAGCCTCGCAAGTGTTGGCTAAGCCCCTCTGGTACCGTCCCCTCCCTCCGTGGTGGCTCATAGCTGAACCCTCCGTATACTTGTTCCCAGTATAAGTAGATGCTGAGGGGAGGGGAGGGGAGCAGCCTGAGCAGCGCCCCTTCCCCCAACCCCGCAGGACCAGAGCATCCTGAACAGGAGACACAGCCCAGCCCTGGTCCTGGGAACCATCGAAAGCAGAATGTGGAAGTCCGGGGTGCTGTAAACTCGAGTGGGGAAAACGGCGGCGCCTCCCGCGGTGTTTGACGGCAAAGTGAATGTCAGCGTCCCAGGCAGTGTGGATGCAGGCAGCAAGCCCCCCCTCAGGGGTACGTGTGACTTCTTCTCTGAGAGGAATCACCAATATTTTCATTGTGCATGACCGTTGCAGCAGAAATCTCAAAATTTCGTTTGTGCTTGTCGCCACGTTGAACCTATGAGTTATTAGACCTGTTGGGGACCTTGTCAACTTACCTGTAAGGAATTGTAGGCAGAAGTAGATCGCAAACTTGCTTTTAAGTCCTTTGATAGCTGTGTTAAGTTTCCTGGGGCGCCGTAACTCACTGGCCACAGGGTGGGTGGTTTAAACCACAGAAACGCTCTCCGTCTAGGGGCCAGACGTCCCACATCATCGGAGTGTGACTGTGCATGCCGGGCACGCCTGGGGCAGAGCCAGCACCAGTCAGGACTCGCGCTCCCAGCCCAGATCCCAGCTCGGCCACGCTCGGCCTTGGGAGTCTGTATGGGAGCTCGGGGCCCACCCATCTGCCTCCCCACACTGTGCCCTGTCTCTCTAGGGAGGCTCTAGCCTTTCCCTCCCATGAGTTGCCGCAGGAATACACCCGAACCCCAGAGGGCACACACAAAGCGCCCAGGAACTCCTGCCTCCTCCACCAGGCAGGCACAGAACTCCCGGGCATTGCCCAGCCTGCCAAGGTCCCCAGCCAGAGTGCAGGGGCCCAAGCGGGCAGGGCTGGGCTGGGTACCCTGTGTAGGGGGCAGACGGCCATCTCAGAGTGGCTGCATGTGGGAAGTTCCTGTCCTGGCTGTCCCCACCCAATGCCAGCTGACAGAACCACTCCCTGTGGCCCTGGGTGCCTGTGGGGCAGGGACAAGGGTTTCTAATTGCTCACCTGCTGCTCCAAGGTGCCGGGCCCTGGGGGGAAGGAGGGAGCAGGCAGCTGGGGAAGCCTTTGGCTAATTGGGCTGGTAGCCTCCCCTTGGAGGGGGTTGCATTGGGTCCTGTGAAGTGTGCAGGGAGAATGCCCGCTCCCCCCGCCACCCCGCCTGCCCCATTGCCTGGGATTTTAGAGGTGACTATCCTGGGCTGTGTTTTCTCCATCATTCTGCACCGGGTGAGCAAGACCCAGGGGGTTCTCCTTTGCAGGCTCCAGGCAGGCTGTGTGGGGACAAGGAGGGAGGGTGACAGCGGGTCCCAGATGTGGGTCCTGCCCTCCTGCGTGGGGAGACGGGGTGGAGCAGCTTGCAGAGTGCGGGCGGGCCAGGGACACAAGAGGAGGGCACAGCCCTCACTGGCTGGCATCGGGGCCACCAGAGAGAAAGGAGCATTCCCCGTTTAGAAAAGGGGGGCAGCCGGTTAAATGAAGGGACCTGCCGGCCAGCGCTTCCCCAGGAGGCCCAGCAGTTTGTGCTCCGAGGGTGACTACAGTACAGCTCCTCTTTTGGGTATAGATGGGAGGGAACTCCTTGCTCTGACCGCCAGGATCAGAGACACTCTGAAGGGCAAGCTCCCCTTCCCCTCGCGCTCTCTGCTTCCCACTGTCCCCGACCACCCACAAAAGCCCCTCATTAGCCATCCCCCTTCGTTTTCTCTTCTGTTGGAGGAAGGCATGCCCCGACTTGCTCCTGGCTTCTTAATTTTTGATCAGGGATGCTCCTCCACTAATTGTTTGGCAGTAATGAGGGAGGAGGAGCAGAGCAGGGAGCGCGTCCCTGAGCTTTCCCCGACAAAGGCGCAAATGTAAGAATGAGGCACCGGTAAACACCACGCTAATTGGATTAATGTGGAAATGATGGATTCTGATAAAAATAGCAGAAAAGACGATGGTGAGATCGAGGTCAGTGTAAGTCCACGAACACTGTCCAATCTCCCTCTGGTTGGTTTGGGGTTGGGAAGCGTGAGAACGGAAAGTCTCCTCTTGAGAGGAAACTGTGTGGGTCAGTAATTGGGGGATCGTGTTCTGCGAGAAGGACGCAGCATGGGGGGCCACCCCGTAAATGGCTGGGGACCCTGGCAGGCTGTACTTTCAGAGTTTGGGACAGTCTGGGCCCAGGGACATTCTGAGCAGCAGAGCCTGGAGGGATTGCCTTCTTTCCTTACTGCAGCAAAGACCCGTGTGTCCCCTTCTCAGCGGGAGCTGCTCTGCCAGGGGCCCAGGGGCCAGAGGCTTCGGTGTGGACTCCTGCTGTGCCCTTTCCGACTTGCCAAATTTTTTGCATTTCCTCGACAAAACTTTACGATGGTAAAAGGCGACAAAGTCGTGGTGAGGGTGGCTAGCTTAGGAATCATCCAGAAGTGGGCTCAAAACCACCCTGACTCTTACTCCTGTAACCCTTTCCAAGTTGGCCTCTGTAAGACCAGAGGCAGAGGGCCCTCCCCTCCTCCCGGGAGATGCTGCGGGGAGCTGAGGTGAGCACGCCTGGTCCCAGAGCACTGCCCACGCCCGCCTCCTGGTCTGATCTACGGATGCCATAAGGTTTCCAAAACTAAGCAGAGGCTCACCATCCCTTATCCCATGTCCCCTTTAAAAGAGTCAGAACTCAGACTTCAAGAAAATGTATTTTAGAAAAGTAACACAGTACCTGAATCCTGTATTTTAGGACACCACCGACGGGTCTGTGGGAAATACCACACAGACAAGCTCTCCCCTGTTCCTACAACACAAGGGGATTTTTTCTTAAGATTTTACTTATTTATTGGACAGAGAGAGAGAGATCACAGTAGGCAGAGAGGCAGGCGAAGAGAGGGGGGAAGCAGTTTCTCCGCTGAGCAGAGAGCCTGATGCGGGGCTCGATCCCAGGACCCTGAGATCATGACTTGAGCTGAAGGCAGAGGCTTAACCCACTGAGCCACCCAGGCGCCCCAACATAAGGGGATGTTGACCCTAAATGGGCAGCAAGGGTCACGGAGAGCTTAGGAGTCTGTCCCAGAACTAAGGAAAATCTAGTTTTCCAAGCTCTCTGGATTTCAAAACTCACCAAAAGAATGCAGAAATAGGCCATATTTCACTTAAGACTTTATTTGTGCGTTCACGCACGATCGCTGTTTATGGGGCACCTGCCCTTCCCTGGTGCAAGCACGTGGGAGCCACACCCAGGGCTCACCAGACCTTAACCCCCACCACCCGCCCCCACCACCACCTAGGGCCCCCGGGAGCAGCTTTCTTTGTTCTTACCGGTGGGGACTGGTCTGGACGGTGGGGTGGGGGCTGGGAGGCAAGAGGGCCTGTCCTCTCAGTCACTCCTGTGCCACCGGGTCCCTCGGCGTTTGGAAACGTGCCAGCAGGCGTGCCAAACGTGGCAAAGCTTTGGCCCACCTGGTGCTCAGGGGACACAGGCCCAAGGACTGTACTGTATGGTGAGAACAGAGACAGGCACAGCCCGGGCCGCTGGGCTCCGCAGTGATGGAGCGTCTGATCTCGGGGTCATGAGATCAAGCCCCACACTGGGCGTGGGGCTTGCCAGAAAACAGAAAGAAAGAGTAGAAAAGAGGAAACACAGGCTGCAGGAAATGTGTGTGTGCCCTGGGCTGTGCGGGAGGTGGGAGGTCCTCCCAGTGGTGCTTCGTGAAGCCTCGCTCTGCTGATCCGCCAGAGGGAGGGGGTTTTCTCCGGGCCTGCACCGTAGCCCGTGTCTGATCTGTGTTGCACGCAGGGGAAGCGTGTGGTGGATCCGTGGTCTGCTGGCGGGGTGACTTCCTGACTCGCTTTTGGGAGCCCATCCCTGTGTGGGGCTGGGGCGGGGTCTGAGGAGGGACCCTGATGGGAGTGAGTGCAGCCAGACCTCACTGGCGTACCCCCACCTCCCCTCGCCCGTGGCTAAAGCCAGGCGACCTCTGGTCTCAGAGGGCGCGTGCTGTGACTCAAGGAGCAGGACCGGGAGCCCTTCATGTGTGGGGATGAGCAACCACCGACCCCAGCTGTGGTCGGCATCCCAGTCTCCAGGCCAGCGTGAAGCTTGGCGTTGGCTTGGGGGGCCCCGGTGGCTTTCGCTGACTCCCACACAGACAGCTGACAGGGTGTGTCCCTGGGGGCTCCCTAAAGCTGAGGCTCAGAGCCTAGAGTCACATTATTTCATGTGACAAAGGGACCTAGAGGTGATGGTGAGCCCCCGTGGGGCCCATGTCATGGCAAAGGACCCAGTGAGCTGGAGCCGGAGGGCCCGGGTCAGAGGCATAGAGGGCTGTGGGGGCAGAGGCCGCGGGGGTGCGCTCCGGAGCTGCGGGGAGGGGCCCCGAGCCAGGGACACGGGATGCGGGCATCCCTAGCCGCTGAAGGCAGGCGGGAGGATCCAGGGAAGCAGCCGCAACCACTTTGATTTTGGCCCCACAAGACCATCCTGGGACTTCTGACCCCAGAACCCTAAGAGAGTCCGTGTGCACCCACAGGGATGGGGGGCTCAGGCCGTCTGCCGGGCTGGCCTTCTGCTCTCCCGCTCAAAAGATGCACAGGCCTTGGGCTGAGGGTCCCACTTGGACCTCCCAGGCCCACCCAGAAGTGTCACAGGAAGAGCTTTCCAAGTCCGTCCCACGGTGGCAAGAAGACGTGAAAAATGCTCGTCCGGCGCCCACGGAACGCCCCACCCAGAGCTGGCAGCCGGCCTCACGGTACCAACTGCCCTGTGGCCAGAAGCCGTCTGCTGTCATCACTCGGAGCCACCCACCCACCTTCTGTGTGTGACACGGGCGTCAGGGCTTCTGTGTGTGGCACGGGCGTCGGGGCTGTGCCCAGTTTCTTTGAGCCATAGATGATTAGGGCTGTGTCTCCGAGCCCCGGGGAGTCAGGCCTTCCCTCTCTCCGCAGGGAACGGGCTGGGGAAGAGGGCATGCCAGGAGGTCACTGGCATAGGAGATCAGGTGATGGGCCACAGGCCCCCCCCCCGAAGGGCACGGCTTCAGGGAGGGGCGGCTTCAGGGAGGAACGGGTCATGGGACCGACCTGCCGCGGTCCACGGCCAGCCAAGGGCAGCCTGGCTGCGCCCCGAGTGAGGGCGAGGCAGGGCCTGGCATCCCGCTGGCTCCTTTGCCTCTTTTCCCAGGACCAGGGAACCCCTCCCATCCCCACCCTCCATCTTGTGGGGTCCTAACACCTCACACTCGCAGCGACCCAGGTGGCCTCCTCCCACGCGTGCACGCGGCTGCCTGCCGTCGTGGCTGTTCTGCGGGGCCGGGCCTGTGCCCCGCAGGAGCCGGGGAGCGCACCGCTGTGGCCTGGCCCTTCCCCCAGGAGTGGCCAGGAGGAAGCCCTTGGCCTTCATCCCATCAGCGGGTCCCTTGGCCCCATTCAGGGCCGTCAGCTTTCCGCGCCGCTGCCCGTGGGGGGAGACGGAGAGGAGTCTAACATCCAGGCCTCAAAGTCCTTCCGAGCAGCAGCTAAGAGCACGTGCTTGGGACATTTGGAATGTGGTGGCAAGGCCTCCTGTCACGTTGAATTACCTGAATTATCTGTGTGCGCCCGTGGGCAGCAGAAACACAGCTGAATGTCAGCACTTGCCTGGCCAGACCCAATACCGGAGAAACCGGCTCCACACTTGTTCGCATCCTCGGCGGACGGATCGCGGGTGAACTGGGACGACCCGAGGAAGCCGCTCCAGCGCGGGCCGGGACAGTCGTGGCCTGTGCACGCGCGCGGACATTTCTACAGGCAGCAGCGGAGCAGAGGCGTGCACACGCGGGTGGACACCCCGGCTCCCGGCCCGCCCTCACCCCCACCCCGCCCCCTCCCCGGCTCCCGGTCTGCTTCCTGACGGTTTGGGCCTGTCACCAGGTCACTGTGCGGAGGGCATGGCATCGCCTACCGGCCTCAGGGCTCCCGGCCACGCTCCGCCCCGGCTGCCCTGGCTCCAGGCTGGCCTCCCTGCTTCCTTGGTTCCAATGTCATCGCCTAGGCGACCAGGACGCTGCCGCCACCGCCTGCCTGCCCAGCCACAGGCCGTGGGCCTCCCAGCTGCCTCCCCTCCACACCGACCTCGACCCTCGGGGCCCGGGCTCCCACCAAGGTAGGCTTGGGCTCAGCCTGGCCCACCTCTCTCAGGCCTGAGCTTGGGGTCCTGTCACTGCCTCCCTGCCGCACAGCACAGCACAGCAGCCACCCCTCGGGCCCCCCAGGGATCAGAGCCCCTCCCCACTGTCCCCCCAACCCCAGCACCCGAGAGTAGGGGGGGCACGGGTGGCAGACAGGCAGGCTGGCGGCCAGGCCAGCGCAGGGAGGCCATGCCCAGGGCTCCTCTGATGGACCAGGCACGGCGGGGCGCTACGTTATACCCCACCTGTTCCCGGGGGGCCCAGGCAGGGTCCGGGCTGGGTAGGGGCAGAAGTTATCCTGGAGCCCTCCTCCACCCTGGGGCCTGCTGGGAACTGTCCACTTCCTGCCGAGGAAGACGCCACTCCCTAGCTTCTCGGGGGGGCCCCCTTCGTCCAGGCTCCGTCACCTGCACGGAGCCCAAGAGCCTGTCCAGACCACCCCTCTGCTTTGCCCAGCGGCCTCTGCGGAGACTGGGATGGCAGGGCCCGTTCCCTGTGTCGGTCCCCTGCCACCGCGGTCCTGCCCTCAGGGCTGGGCTCCTGAGGTAGGGATCATGGGGGCCCGGCCCCCCTGCAGGGGACGGTGATTACCACGGGCTCCACGTGAGGAAGGCGGAGGGAGCGCGCACCCAGGTGAGGGGTGCGGGGTGCGCCGCGGTCCTGTCCCCTGCCGTATGGGAGCGCTCGTGCATGCAGGATGTGGGCTGACCCAGTGATGACTCAGTCACAGATACTGACAGCCCCACAGCCAGACGGACAGCCACGCTCTGCAGCCCTGAGCCAGCCCAGGGCTCCTGCCAGCTGCCTGTGTGTAGCTCAGTCGTGCGTGGGGGCTGTGACCATTGCCGCCCCACAGGTGGGAAGAGAGAGACCCCCACGTGTGCACGAAGCTGCTAGCGGGCCGGAGGCACCGGGTCTAGAGCTGGGAGGAGGTTTGCCGAAGAGGGCATTAAGCAGCAGGAATTGGCTTGGAAGGGGGTGGTCCTGGGCAGGACCCGCGTCCTCGTCCTCCCTGTCCCCGCACCCTCAGGACTGTCCACTTGTTCCACATCCCCCCGCCTTACCTGAGCCCCGCCAAGGCCTGCCTCACTGACCACCCGCCTCTGGCTCCTGGGCCCATGTGTGTCTTCCAGGGTGACCTTCCCCTTGGACGTCCCACTGCACCCCACATGAGCTGAACCCTGAACCTGGCTCCCTGAAGTCCATGGGCTCAGGGCTCTTCGGGTGGTCTCCAGAGGGCCTGTCCCTTCTCCAGCCCGCTGTCCAGTCCCGCCTCCCCCTACTCTGCTGGTGCCCACTCTCCCCTGGACCCCAAGCCCAACGTCAGCCTAGGAGACCTCCAAAGGCCACACTGATGTGGACCTTCGTGTGCCCTCACGCTGACCCTGGCCGTGGTCCGCACCCGTTCAGGCCGCCCTTCATGCTGGGCAGTGGAAGCAGCTTTGTCTGTCCCCCAGTAGCGGGGGCTCCTGGATGGCGGGGCTGCCTGGTGGGGGCCAGAGCAGACCCCAACCCAGCCTTGACCTTCCAAGCTGTGTGGCCCAGGGCAGGTGACCCACCCTCTCAGTGCTGCTGTAAGAACGTCTGGAGAGAGTAGGGGTGCAGGGAGTCTCCCTTCCTGCCGCGTTACAGGGAAGAGTGAAAGGTCTCCGGGCCGGGGCCGGGACCGAGGGAGCATGCAGGAGATTCTGGGCACCATTATCAGAAAGACGCCCCCAAGGCTGCGGACAGGGACAGGACGTGGGCAGCGGCAGCTCTGTGGACATCTCTGGAGGGAGGAGGGATGGATGGGCCGACATCACGGCAACTTGGGTGAAGACTTGTCAGACGCGCGGGGGGAGGAGCTTAGGAGTCTGTGGAAGGGCGACCCCGAAACGGGGCCACGGAGGGGGTGGGAGGAGACAGATCAGAAGGACAGCGGTGCCTGCAGCCCAGTGGGCAAGAGGACAGTGTCTGCTCATTGGCCCCAGGCCCCATGGCGACCCCGTCCCAGCAGGTCCCTAAGGTGAAGGCCCCTCCAGAGAGGGCTGCTCCTGGCCCCGCACAAACAGGGACCGGCTGCCACCTCCGTGTGCCGGGCAGCCCTGGGCCTGGGAAGAGCGGCCACGAGTGGTGGGGGCAGGGACCTCTAGTATCCGGAGAGGCTGGGGGTGGGCGTTGTGAAGGAGGCTGCAGTGACAGGACGCTGGTGTGTCTCATTCTGCAGGTGCCTCGCTCCTGGACAGACCAGGGCGGGGTGCGGGGGGGTATAGTCTAACGAGCTATGGACAGGGCAGCGACCAGGCCCAGCCTCTCTCCATCGCCACCCCTGACCAGGGCTTGGCTTCTTCCTCCGCTGACGCCTGGTTCTAAGGAACCGTTGGTCCCCTGCAGATCGCTGCTGATTCTCAGGCTCCCGGGATGTGTCCGGGTCAGCGCCCTGCTCAGTGTGTCCCTTCTTCCTTGCACACGTGGCTCGGAATGGGCAGTACACCTGTCCAGGCAGTACACCTGTCGCACGGCTACAGAGCAGCAGAGGTGGGCTGCGTGGAAGTGTACGGAGGGGGAGAGGGAGCTGGGGTGTGTGACAGGGCTGAGCCGCAGAGCGGAAACCATGGGACAGGAGTTGTGTGGCCAGGCGTGACCTGCACGTGGTCGGGTGAGGGACCGGAGGAGGGACGCCTCTAGATCCGCAGAGGGCGGCAGAGTTGGGGGGGGGTGTCTCACGGCGGGTGGGGCTTTGAGGTGCTGCGTGAAGAAAGGGGTGGGCAAGGGGCTTCCCAGGCAGGATGTGCAGGCTGGGGAGGGTCAGGCCAGGTAGAGGGCAGGGTCAAGAGCAGGGTTCCCTGAGCCAGACGGCTGGGTTTGACTCTGGGCCCCAACTCGCTGGGTGTCCTTGAGCAGGTGACCTCCCCTCTCTGTGCATGTTTCCACCTCGACAGTCAAAGGAGCTGCAGATTTGCTGGTCCCCCCGCCCCCCTAGGGGTGCTGTAGCGGCTGGCGATGCTTGGGTGTTTCTTGGTTTACTTCCTCTGCAGGAGCTGGTCTGTGACAGCCCTTTCCTGCCGGGTGTTGGGTTTTCAGTCGTGGGTTCCCGAAACTGCTCAGCCGACCGCCTACCCTGGCCAGGGCCAGACCCCGGAGCCCCACGGTCCCGGGCGGCCTGCTTTACCGGCGTTTCCTTCTGGAAGCGGGCGAAGCCCACGTGCTCAGGGGTGGGCACGGTTGCCGTGTGGCTCCCGCGGGGGCTAAGCCAACCCCCAGAATCACACCCGGACGGCTGGCGGGTCCTAGTCCTCCGCACTGGGCCCGGGTGCCGGACGAGGCCACCCCGACCCTGCCGGCTGCAGGTGGCAGCCACTGGCCGTGACGGAGGCTGACGGCTGGGGTAAGAGGCTGGCAGGTGGGAAGGAACAGGGCCCAAGGGGGCTCTGAGGCTGCCCTCTGCCCTGCCTCCTTCCAGTGGGCCCTGGCCCGGGAGGGAGGGAGGAGGGGAGGGCAGCTTAATCGGGCGCCTCCAGCTGTTTTCTTATTTCACAAGTGCACCCTGGCCCAGGGTGCAGAGGCTAAATTTGGCCGTCGCTGTGCCCCCCCCCTTGGGCAGAGGGGCAACCGTGAGCCGGTGCAGGGTGACGGGAGGCCCCCGGGCACGTCCTCCTCACCAGGGCCGGCGGGGCCCCGTCTTTCTGCAGGAGGTCCCCGGGCGCAGATCCGGCCAGTCCTGTCCTGACCCCCCCCCACCCCACCCTGCGTGGCTGGGGCTGCCCAGCACTCCCGTGGCCACGTGGCCTGGGCCACAGGCCGGCGGGGCGGGCAAAGATGGCCGCTGGCCCGGGTCCCTGAGGAGGGACGCACTTTGGGCCGGCAGGGCCGCACCCCACGAGGCAAGGGCCGCCCCTGTTCTGGGGGGTGATTGGGGCGGCAGAGGCCCGTCGGCACCGAGGGCCGGGAGCTGGGCCCAGAGCATCCTGCGGGGACTCCGCTGGGCCTGGGACAAGCGCCCTCTCACAGCTCTGCTCCCTCGGTCCTCGCCCGCCAGCCGCCGGAGCCTCCACCCAGGTAGGGCCCTTCTGGGCGCCAGAGTGTCCGCAGTCGCCTCAAGGCCACGGGGCTGGTTGGAAGGGGCCTGGGAAGGCCCCAGGGTCCTTTCCTGTGATGCTCCGAGTTTGCTGAGCGCAAAGGGGAGATGACGGTGGGAAGGAGCCACATCATACCCGCGGGGTCAGAAGAACCACTGAGACGGAGTGTTTGGGGACAGGGTCAGAGCGGGGCTCTTGGGCGAAGGGAGCTCCCTCCCTCCCCAGATGCTGGAATCCCGATGGCCCCGAGTTGCCTTCCCTGCGCTCAGGCCAAGCGTCCACTCCCTGTCCAGACTCTACAAGCAGTGGGAGGGGGTGACCGCTGACAGGGGGTGGGGACTGCCATCCCCCCCCGCATGGGGTGCTTCCCTTTGTCAAGTGTCAGCGGGTCACAGGACCCCAGCTTATCGGAGGTGGTGTGGGGGCCCGGGGCAGGTGGAGGGGACGGGGCACCATCTGGCCCGACAAGCGAGGCTCTCCTGGGGGCCACGCAGAGGAAGCTGTGCTCCACTGCCTGCTCGGCGATGGGAGGCAGAGAAGACAGTGTCCTGCTTAGGGATCAGGGAGGACGGTGGCTTCCTGGAGGACACTGGGGCCTGAACTGTCCTAGGAGGACACAGATGGGGGTGGGGTACGGGGTGGGGGGGACATGTGGGGAAAGTTAGGGGCAGAGGGGACAGGATGGAAGGCAGGGATGGGACATGTGGGGACAGAACGGGGTCAGGGGATATGTAAGGACAGGGTAGGCGGCAGGGAGGGGACACGTGGGGATTGGGCGTGACAGAGGGTGTGAGCTCCTGGAGGCCCTATGCAGGGCTTGGCCAGTAGCACCGAGAAGCAGTGGTGTGGCCCCAGGTCTCCCCTGCAACTCTGACCCCAGATCTAGAATATTCTCTGTGAGGGGACCACAGAGATTGGGGTGTCGAGAAGCACCCCTCCCCAACCAGGGCTGACGATGAAAATGTTGGCAGATTTTGCCGAGGGGCTCCGGCGGAGACTGCTGGGTTGGGGACTCGGGAATCCCATGTGTCACATGCAGAAGTTGAAGAGTAAGGGGGTTGTCTGCTCCTCCACTCCGGCTCTGGGCCGCACGGTGCCCCCAGCCCCCGAGCTCTGGGGGTCCTGGGGCCTCGCCGGCAGCCCCGTGATGCCCCCCAAGTAACAGGAATTTGCTGGAAATTCCTTGAGGAGCGGCAGCGTCAGCAGAGCCCCCAGCAAGGCCCAGCGCCCTGAGAGCGGGGACGCCTGGGGCACCCTTTCTGGCGCTGACCCCCGGCCAGGCGGTCCTGGGCCCCGTGGGCGCCTGTACTTCCCGCACCCACAGCCTCACCGCCCGGGGCCCTGCTCCCTGAGAGGCTGAGCGCCCTTTCCCTACAGGGGAACCGGCTCTTCCTTGAAAGCCCCCGGCGGTCCGGGCCGCGTCCGCACTTGGACCTCGGTGACAGCCTCACAGACATTTCCTCGGGGGCCTGTCCTCCCCCCACGAACACGTGATCTTTAAGGTGGTGGGCTGCGTTTGCCAACTGTCCTTAGGCCCGGAGCCATGTTTCCAAATTTAAAATGCGGGTTACTAGGGCCACTGGTGTTTCTGACAAGGGGCTCTCCTAGGTCTCACCTCTGCCATCCTCAGATGAAATGCCACAGCGAGTCCAGGGATGACCCTGCCCCTGCCCCGAGGACAGAGGAGGGGCCCCCGGGGTCCAGCGCCGGTGCCCAGTGAGGGCCCCGGTCCTCGCCCCGACATCAGCATTGCTCGTCTCCATGGCCGGAGGGAGCTCCCGGGGCCCACGGGACGGGGTCTGCGGCTCCCTTGACTCGTGGACGTGGGGGCCTGGGCTCTGTGCGCCGGCTCGGGGGGCCTCCCAGCGAGACTGGGAGTCATGGAGGCAGTAGCTTCTGGGCTCGGGCCCCGTGGCATCCTGTGAACAGGGCAGCGCAAGTCTCTGGACCCTCGTTTTGCCAAAATGAAGATCCTGAGTGAAGTCACCAGTGGAGGCTGTGGCCACCCTGCAGGTGGACAGGGAAGGGCCCTATGGAGCGGGGGCTGGGCTGCGAGTCCCGGTGAACTCCCTGGTGCAGGTTAAAGATGCAGATTCCTGAGCTCCCGCTGTGGGAGCCCTGGGCAGGGCGCCCCGGGATGTTTTCCTTTTAAGATTCATTTATTTATCTGAGAGAGAGAGAGAGAGAGAAGGAGAGAGGGCGCACACAGGGGCAGAGGGAAGGGGAGAGAGAATCCCAAGCAGGCTCCGCGCTCAGCTTGATCCCACGACCCCCCAGATCGCACCCTGAGCCAAAACCAAGAACCCAGTGCTCCGCCCACCGCCTACCGGGCGCCCTGGGAATGTGCATCAGATCAGCGCCTCTGAAGCGGGGGGCCCACTGCCGGTGTCTCAGGCCAGTGGGGAAGTCCCCTCCAGGCCTGTGCCCATGGCTCAGTGGGGAAGCCCAATGGGCAGGACAGGACGCCTTCCCTAACATGGGGTTTGGTGGGGAGCATGACGGGTGTAGCAGGACACGTGGGGGTGACGGTGACGGCAGCCCGGCACGGGGGCACGCCTGGCTGTGTATGGCTGGAGCCCGCTCTGGGCCAGGGGCCCAGCAGGAATGAACAGGTAAACGCAGGCCACTGTGTCTCTGGGTCCTTCAGGCTGGACCTGCTTGCAGACAGACAGAGAAGGATGCAGGTAACACAGGGTCGTGGCAGCTGGTTTAACCGGGTGCCCGGATGGCCTCTTGGAGACGGTGGCCTCTGACCTGAGCCCCAGGTGCTGGGCAGTGCCCCCAGCCCAAGACAATAGTGCGGAGGCCTGTGGGGGACGAGGGGCATGGGGGTGGGCCCTGTAGTCAGGGCCGGCTGGCCACAGCGAGACACTGGGGCCTTCTGCCTATGCTCAAGGGACAGCCCACTGGGGCGAGGGGTTAGACAGGGAGGGGACTGGTGTGGGGCACTGCAGGGGCTGGGCTGGACCCAGGGAGGGCCTGGCCTAGGCAGTGGTGATGGGGGAGCAGTGGACCTGGGGTCTGCCAGCAGAGTCTGGGGAGTCCTTGGAATGCCTCTCCGGCCCTCACGGGGGCCCCAGCGACTAGGGGGTCACTTAGTTTCCTACTGCCGTCCAATGTGGCCGGACCGGCTCCCTCTGCCCTCTGCCCTCTGCCCGGACGGGTTCCGTCTGCCCTGCCCCCTCCCCCTCGGTCAGAGCCAGCCTGACCGGGTACAGCTCGGGGCGAAACAGGGTGCGGGCTGAGGGCAGACACGCCAGCTGTGTCCCCTGACGGTTGGGGTGGGGGGGCTCTGGGGTCCCACCTCCCTGGCTGTTCCCTTGGGAGGGAGGCACAGAGGCTCGAGGCAGAATGTGTCCCCTTTCCCCGTGCCGGCTCCGGGACACTGGGCTTCGGGACATGGGGAGTTTTCCCTTCTCTGCGGCCGGTGGGCTAAGTGCCCAGCCCGTGATCCGCGGCTCCGGGGCTCCCCATATGTTACCCTAGCCTCTTCGGTTTTTTGATTCGTTTTTTTCTTAAATCAAGGTGAAATTCATGTAACATAAAACTAACCCTTTGAAAGGTAAACCACATAGTGACGTTTTGTAGTCACAATCTGTGCAATGTCCGCCTCCATTTGGCTCCAGAATATTCCACCACTCCCGAAGGAAACCCCGTCCCTGTCCCCTCTGCCCGGCCCCGGTACTGGGGACCTGCCTCCGGGGCCTGTGGGTTTGTCTGTGTGGGAGTGTCCTGCGTGGACCCTGACACCTGGTTCCCTCGGTCAGCAGCGTGTCCTCAAGGCTCATGCAAGCCGCCACGAGGGGCCCGCTTTGTTCCCTCCCATGGCCAAGGGACGCCCCACTGTACGGAAAGACCGCGTCTGTCCATTCGTGCATCACGGCTGGTGTGGGCTGTTGGCGTCTTTCGGCCGCTGTGGTTAGATTGGCGAGGTCTCGCTGACCGTCTGCTGTGTGACATCAGCCAAGTGTTTTCCGTCTCTGGGCTTGGATGGTCCATCAGCAAACTGAGGAAGGGGGCGCCCAAACGGCCTCCTATCGGCGTGCGCTCCCCACCCCCAGAGGCCACTCCACGGACAATCCCCGCTTGCCCGGGAAGGGCCCGCCATAGCGGCGACGGGGGGCAGGTTTCTGCCAAGGCAGCTGGTGTTATGCTGCCTACCACGGCCACCACCGGAATCACCGCGTGACCAGCGCCACACCCAGCACTGGGCTCCACTGTGCTGTGGACAGCTCGGCCCAGGGCGGGAGTGATTGCCCCAGAACAGGAGGCATGCCAGCCCACATCGCCCAGCCCTGTTAAAGCCCGTAGGGGGTCAGGGCACGCAGGGGGCTCAGTCGGTTGAGAACTGGACTCCTGGTTTCCGCTCAGGTCATGATCTTGGGGTCGTGAGGTCGGGCTCAGCGCGGAGTCCGCTTGGGACTCTGCCTACACACGTACACACTTTCTCTCTCTCATATAAATAAAGTATAAAAAAACCCTCGTGGGAAGATCGTGTGCTAAAGGTGTGTGTACAGTGACGGGGGCGGGGTGACTAATTCTGAATTCTGAGGAAACACCCTCGGTCTCTCCCATGCATACAGCTGTGCCGTGTGACCTCAGCCGGGCACGTAACCTCTCTGAGCCTGCAGGACAGTTGGTTTGGGGCCAGTGCTCTCTGAGCTGCCAGGCCCAGGCCATCCTTGCCCAGCCCGCCTTAGCCCTCGGGCCTCCTGTTGCCAGTGCCCAGCCTAGCCCCTGAGGCCGCACTCCTGGCTCGTGCCACTGCTCCTGAGACCAGTGCCCTGGCACGTGGCAACCCCCAGAGAGGGCCACAGACCTCCACCAGCAGCTGCCCACCAGGGGACGAAGGGACATATAGTGGGTGCGCCCTCCTTCCCCCAGCGGCTGGGGGCAGGTCTGGACTTGCCCGCTGGGACACTGCCAGGCGGATGGCGGCCAAGCTGATTCCCACGGCCCTTTGCCAAGGACCCGGGGGCTGGCTCAGGGGAGACACCACATTGGCCTTGGAGGGGTGGTAGGCAGGGCGGGCTCTGGTTTCCCTGCCCCTTCCCGCCACGGGAGGATGGGGGCCCCAGCTCTGCCTGGCCCGGTCCTGGGATGGCAGGCCCACTGCGGGGTGGGAGCTGGGTGTGGACGCTCTCAGGAGAGGAAACCCTGGGACAAAGGCTAGCATGTCTGGGCACCCCAGTCCCTGGACATCTGTGACAGGGGGCCCACAGTACAGTGATCCTGCTCTCGTGACAGCGTCACAGCCTTGGCCTGGGGGTCCCTCGTGGGGTCCGAACTGCTTTTGTGTCCGGCCACAGGGGAGAACCCTATCAGCCAGGAACTCAGCCAGCCGGCCTCCTACAGCCACGGGGCACAGCCAGCCTCGCCCCGGGCTTGGCTCCAGCCCCTGGGCCTGCCCTGCATGTGCCCTTCCCAAGAAAGGGGTGACCCAGGATCTGAGCTGTCCTCATGTCCTGGGGCATCAGGAGCCCCCAGGCCTGGCCCAAGGCCTGAAGACCAAACCTAGAGACACAATTCATAGTGATAGCGGCCACACCTGTCCCCGTGTTTACTGTGCTCCAGGCACAGCAAGGACTTCTGATTCGAGCACCCAAAGGGCCCTGTGGCAGCCTTGCAAAGGGGTGCTGTTTTAACCCCCCCAAAAGGGACGGCTCTGAGAAGCCCTTGCTGCCCAGGGCACCTCTCTGACCTGGGTCTGGAGCCAGACCTGTCCCTCTGCAAGGTGGGGTCCTGCCTGAGAAAGGGGAGGATGAAGTGGGGGTTATCAAGGGGTGTCCACCCTGCCCAGCCCCCAGGGATGCTGAAGGAGGGCATGGGTGGCCTCCCCAAGTCACCAGGGTCCTTCTCCCCTCCTCACAGAGCAAGCCGCCCTCCGGGCTGGGTGCAGAAAAGATGTCCCAGCCGACCTCCACAGACGAGGGGGCCACGTTCGAGCATCTCTGGAGCTCCCTGTGAGTACTGCCTCCAGCCACTGGGCTGGACTCGGGCTGGATGAGGGGGAGGTGGGGCTACTGGCCTAGGCTTTCTCCTGGGGATGCAGAGTACGGAGTCTGGGCCAGGAGAGGTCCAGGGGACAGAGCTCCGGTGGGGCTGCCCCTCCCTGCTGGCCTAGCTCTGGAGAGGCTGGCAGAGGAGACAGACGGTGGGCTGCAGGGCAGGGCCCCCAGGAGCCGAGGGCCAGCCCCGAGCACCGGCCTGGGTGGTCTGGGGCTGATGGCTCTGTTCCTGTCTTCCCAGGGAACCAGACAGCACCTACTTTGACCTTCCCCAGTCCAGCCAAGGAAACAACGAGGTGGTGGGCGGCCCAGAGGCTGGCATGGACGTCTACCACCTGCAGGGCATGACCACGCCTGTCATGGTGAGTGGGGCTGCTGTCTGCAGCGGTAAGCATGGTCCTGACCCGGAGACTGCAGAGTCGGGAAACAGGCACTCAGGGTTTGTCAGGACGTTTCAGTGGCAAAGTAGGAAATGTACCAGCTCCTAAAACCATTAGTGCAAGGGTAGGAATGGATTCAGGTGTGGCCAGATCCAGGTGTAGGAACGGATTCAGGTGTGGCCGGATCCAGGTGTAGGAACGGATTCAGGTGTGGCTGGATCCAGGTGTAGGAACGGATTCAGGTGTGGCTGGATCCAGGTGTAGGAATGGATTCATGTGTGGCTGGATCCAGGTGATCCAACTGCTGCCTCTGTCTCTTGCCCTGCTTTCTCCACAGTGGCTTTGTGCTTAGGCAGCCTCTAGTCTCTGTGGAAGGGCACCAGGCCCCACCGGCATCACCCTCCTTCTAGGGAGGACTCCTCTTTGCTGGTTGGCCAAGAGGCCTGCCTCTCAGCAGTCTGAACACGGTTTGGGGTCCTTGTGCCTCTGATGAGCCTGGGTCCCGTGGGACAGGGGCAGGATGGGATGGAGTGGAGTGGAAAGAGGACCCCAAAGGAAGACTGAGCTGCTGCTTCAAGCGGAGGGACCGGGTGGGGGCGTGCAGGGACCACCAAGGCCCTGACACCTGTTTCCATGTCCCAGGTCCTACTGCCCCAGGTGTTCCTCTTGGCGAGCAGGCAGGGCTGTGTGAGCCGGTGCACCACCGTCCTAGGCCCTGTGCGTCAGGAGGAAGTCGCTGCGGGTAGAGCATAAGAAGCAGGTGTGAGGACCGCTGGGCCCAGGGAGGCCTAGTACCGCCTGCCATCCCCAGCATCCCCCCTGCAGTTGCCTCCTTGGAACAGCCCCCGCTCGACCCCAGGCTGCCCCGTCTCCCTGGGAGGTGGCTGTGCTGCGTCCAGCGTGTCCGTTTCAGGGGACCAGGCCAGGAGCCAGAGCAGTGCTGGGAATCCTGGAGGCCGGGAGGGCCGGGCCCCTCCCTCAAACAGTTGGAGCCCCTCATCCCCTCTGAAGAACCCCGAGCCGTTGGCAACCAGCAAGGGCCATGGAGGCTCCAGGCATGTGAATGAGCTGGGGGCAGGCAGTGGTGGGGGCAGGAGGGTCCCCTGTGTCCTTAGTTGTGTCCGTCGAGGACACTAGGCTGCCCCCACGCGACCTGGGCCGTGGCCGCCGGGGGTGAGGTGTGGTGAGCAGGGAGCTCCAGAGTCCCTGGCTTCCCCCGAGAACGCTTCATACTGGGTCTGAGAAATCTGACTGCCCGGCCCAGGCCTCCTGCCTCGCTCAGACCATCGTGGTGAGAGCAGCTCACGGCGTCCCCACCTGTCGATTCCCGTCGCGCAGGGGCGGAAGCTGAGGCAGACGCAGGGGGAGTGTGGGGCTCGATGGGCCGGGCTGCCCCATCCCAGGTGCTCCCCAGGGGCCAAGGGTCCAGAACTTTCCCCTCCCGGGTCCCCCTCCTGGACATGAGCGTTCTCCCCAGTGTGTCAGTGATGTCACTGCCGGCTGGCGGCGTCTGGGGCGCGAGCACTCAGACGGCTCCTGATGGAGCCAGCGCCGCGGCTGGACCGACCCTTGTGCTTCTGATGGCGCGGGACGTACGGCAGCGCCTTGGAAAGAGGCTTCGCCACAAGAGGCACGTGGCGGGCCCCGGGGCACGGAGTGGCAGGGAGAGAGGGAGAGAGCGCAGATGGGGGGTTCTGCCTTTATGCGGGGCCAGGGAGGAGGGCCTGGGGCTTGGGTGACTCACTCTTTATCGGTGAACTTAAAGCCTACGTGTGGCTTTAGGGCGCGGGCAGGGAGAGCAGGCTCACTCGATGGTCCGTGGTCGGGGTCCCTTGGGGCTTTCTGCAAGGGGGCCGCGTGGCTGGGGGGCTGGGCTCTCCCTCCAACTGTCCGCCGGCCACGCAGTCATTCCACACAGTGTCTGTTAAGTGGCCGCTCCCGGTCAGAAGCTGACTGCCAGGCACTCACACCGTCCACTCTGCAGAGGGGCAGGAGCTCTAGGGAGGGCGGACCCGAGTGTGGTCTCCTGAGTGTGGGGAGCCGCGCCCTCCAGCCGCCCCGCTCACCCCTTGAGGGCAGAGGGCCCTGGACACTCCACGGCCCTGGTGTCCAGAGGGGCTTCTGCGCTCTGGTAGGTGGAGGGGGCAGCCCCAGGTGCCCCCTGGGTGGGAGGCGCCCCCCAAGTCCGCCCGGGAGGATGTGGGGTGCCGAGCGTGTCTGGGCTAGGAACGGGGGCTGGCCTCTCAGCGGCCGTGGGGGAGCGAGGGTGTGGGCTCCCACCTCTGCGAACAGCAAGAGGGCCGAGTCTGTCAGGTGGGGACCCGCCTTCTAGTAAAAGTCATGCAGGGACGAACTGTGGGCCACGCTCCCTTCACAAGGCTGGGGATTCCCTGGAGCCACCTGGTCGACCTCCCTCAGATCCCTGCTTGCCCGTCGTGGGCGCCGTGACCCGTCTGGGCCCAGTGACCGAGCAGACAGCCCGCCCGCCCTTCCCCCTCGCCAGGCCCCAGCACAGCCCAGACACACAGGTGGAGGCCGCTGCCGGACTGTCCCACCCAAGGGTCTCCGTGTGCCCAGGGGCCGGGAGCCAGGTGCGGGCAGGGCTATTGGTCCTGCCCAGGAGCCAGAGGACACAGCTCCCTCCCCACCCAGCTGCCTGGTTAGTCAGGGTTAGGATGGGGGAGGCAGGGCAGCCCCACTCCAGGCTGGTGACCTTGGACAAGAAGCCAGGTCCTAAGGCCAGGCCGGGCAGGGGCAAGAAAGCAGGGGTGGAGTCCGGTATCCCCAGGACCGGCCAGCCCTGCGGCCACGACTCAGCCCACGGGCCAGGTGTGAAGGCTGGTGCGTACACCATGGGCCGGCCGTGCCCTGTGTCACGGGGGACCTGGCCCCCCAGGCATGCCATTGGTCCAGCGGCAAGAAGTAGCATCAGCCCTCTGGGCTGGCACGTCCCGCTGTCCGGACCTTGGGTCTCCTCCGCTCGTCGGCCCTGCAGTCAGACCGCGGCCAGAAGAGAGGCCACTGCGGGGCCAGGGGTGACCCTCTCCACCGCTTCCGTGGCCATCGGCAGAGCGGGTGGCAGTCCGCATGTATGGGGCCCAGCAGGGGCTCTCCCAGCCCTGTGGGAAGGACTGGTCGTTGTCCCCAGACCACCCCCTGCCACACCGAGTAGGGCAGTAAAGAGGACGGGGCCCCTGGAGGCCACCTGGCCCCTGAGCAGGCCTTGGAGGGGTCCCAGTACACAGATTCTTGGGGGGAGGGTGAGCTACCTGAGGTCATGGCCACCAGGGTCCCAGCTCCCCGTACGGCTTAGGGGGCATAGAGGGAGGGCTTCGTGGGCATGGGGCACTCTAACCCATCCCATCCCTACCACTTTTTTGCCAGGTGAGGCATGGGGGGTGGTTACTTAACTCCCCGGGCCTCTGTTTCCTTGTCTGTACCTTGAGCTGGTGAGAGCATCTACGTCATCAGCATGGCGAGGACAAGGGTGGTGGCTGGCCCACAGGGAGTGTGTGATAAAGCTAGATGTTGTGCTGGGCAAGGCAGGGGGAGGCAGGGCGAGGCTCTGTGTTGAAGAGGGATCAGGGGCCTGGGAGCAGCTGTGCCCGGGAAGGCCCTGACACCCCAGGGCCTCTGTGGCCACCTGCCCACCGTGGGGTCCCTGTAGGAAGAGCCCTTGCCCTGGGCAGTGGCCGTGGCAGCCGACCCCACGGGGTTCACCGGCCAGCGCCAGCAGCTCTGCAGTCGCTTCCCGTCTCCTGCAAGGGGAGAGAAGCCTGTTGGGTCCCCAGCATCCCCAGGGGCTCAGGAGGAGGGTGGGCTGATGCCGTGAGTAGGGCAGTCTTATGGGGTCTGCACTGGGCCTGGAGGCCCCCCACTGTCCCGGGGCGGGGGCCCAGACAGGATGAAGTCCCCCACTGTGGGTCCTCCGGGTGTCCAGAGCAGGAATCCTGACCCCCCGGACTCTGCTGCAGCCGGGTGTGGGCTAAGGGCCTGTGTGTCCCCTCTGAGCTGGGGACAAAACGACAAAATGAGGGCCAGGCTCTCGGGGGGAGGGGGTCCCCTCCCAGCTCTGATGAGGCATGAAAGGGAGATGGCGGGTGCCCCACTGAGCCTGGCTGCCTCCCTCCACCCCCTCCAGCCCCCACAGAGTCTGTGGGGCTCCCTGCCCCCACACACCCTCCCCGAGCCTCTTCCCGCCTCTCCCAGCGCCTTTCTGTGGTGACAGCTGGTGTGGGCAGGTGGGCCATGGTGGGGGGGGGCGGGCTGTGGCCGCAGGGGCGGCAGGCGCAGCTGATCCGGGCGGGGGCCCACCACCACCTGCCCAGGGCTCAGTTGCCCACAGAGAGCCGCACAGCCAGGCAGATGCCTGGGCTCGAGACCCCCGTGGTCACCCAGGGCAGACCTTTCTGGCCTGGGGAGGGGTCACTTCTGCCCAAGGGCAGGAGAAGGGAGGGCACAGCCCAGTGTGGATCCCAGAAGTAGGTTCTCTGGAAACGGCTGGTCCTCAGAAGGGGACAGGTGTGTAGTGGGGTGGGAAGGACGCCCTCTCCTCAGGGAGGCTCTGCAGCCCCAAGGAAGGTGTTGGGGTAGAACTCAAGGCCAGGGAGGGGGCTCAGCTCCGACAGTCAGCCCCAGGACCCCCAGCCTGCCTGCCTTCCCAGTGAGCCCCAAGCTCACATCCTTCTACAGGCCATGGTGGGAGTTCCTCTAGGGGGCACGGAGCCAAGCCCCAGCCAGCACCAGGTCCTGGGGTGACCTCCCCTGTTGGGGGGTGCAGAGCCTGTGGGTGGTCAGGATGGCGTGTGAGGAGTTTGGCTTGGAGCAGACACATCCCTGGGGCCCTTCTGTTGAGTCCTGTGCCCTTAGGAGGAGGAAGACATACCCCACCCCATCTCCCGCTGTCTTGAGTCCTGCGGGAGGGGCTGGTGTGCGATCTCTAGTGAGTTAGAATCAGGAGAGCTGGTGGGGCCACCTGGGAG